AGATGGGCCCTGTTTCTTACTAGGTTCAATTTTACTCTGTCCTACCGTCCTGGTTCTCGCAATGCCAAGCCTGATTCGCTATCCCACCAGTTTCTACCTCTGTCAGCCTTGAGGAACCTGAAACCATCCTTCCCAAGTCCCATATCGTGGCCACTCTTACCTGGGAGGTTGAGGAAAGAGTTAAGGCTGCCCTGGAAGATCAGCCTGGTCCCAGCACATGCCCTAATAACCTACTGTATGTTCCACAACCTCTCAGGTCAGATGTTCTGCAGTGGGCTCACAGTTCGAAACTTACCTGTCATCCTGGGATCCAGCGAACTAAGGAGGTGCTGCGTCAAAGATTCTGGTGGGGTACCTTGGACGAAGACACTAAAGATTTTGTGAATGCCTGTCAAGTGTGTAATCAGTCTAAGCCAACTCACCAAGCACCTGCTGGCCATCTTCTTCCTCTTCCTGTTCCTCACCGGCCTTGGTCCCATATCTCCCTGGACTTCGTCACTGGCTTACCTGTTTCCAATGGACATACCACCATCCTGTCTGTAGTTGATCGTTTTAGCAAAATGGCCCATTTCATTCCGCTGGTCAAACTTCCATCTGCTAAAGAAACCGCTGAGCTCATGTTGCAGCATGTTTTTCGGCTACATGGACTCCCCACTGACATAGTCTCTGATCGGGGTCCACAGTTCACCTCCATCTTCTGGCGTGAGTTCTGTTCACTTCTAGGAGCCACTGTTAGCCTATCATCGGGCTATCATCCTCAGTCCAACGGCCAGACGGAACGAATTAACCAACAGATGGAGACTGTTCTGCGCTGTATGGCCTCTAGGAACCCTTCTTCCTGGTCCAAGCAGTTACTTTGGGTTGAGTATTCTCACAATACTCTGAAAAGTTCTGCCACTGGTTTTTCCCCATTCCAGTGTGCCTATGGTTACCAACCACCCCTGTTCCAATCTCAGGAAAAGGAAGTTTCTTGCCCGTCTGTCCAAGCTTTCATAAAGCGCTGCCACAGAACCTGGAAACAGGCCCGGACTGCTCTGCTCACCTCTGCACAACGCTACTCTGCTTCTGCCAACCGCCGCCGTTCTGAAGCTCCTGAATACCAGGCTGGCCATATGGTTTGGCTCTCTACTAAGGATCTACCACTCAGGGTGGATTCCAAGAAACTAGCCCCTAAGTTTATCGGTCCGTTTGAAATTGAGAGGATGGTTAACCCAGCGGCTGCACGTCTCAAATTGCCAAGAGCCATGCGGATCAATCCTACCTTCCATGTGTCTAAGTTGAAGCCAGTTAGAGACAGTCCTCTTGCCCCTGCCTCACCCCCACCTCCGCCTATTCGTCTGATTGATGGGGAACCTGCGTACATGGTCAGGCGTCTGCTTCGTTCCAGAAGGCGTGGTAGGGGCCTCCAGTACTTGGTTGACTGGGAGGGGTATGGGCCAGAGGAGCATTCTTGGGTGCCTGCTAGTTTTATCTTAGACCCCCGTCTCATTAAGACCTTCCATGAGCGGCATCCAGAACAGCCTTCAAAGGGGTCTACGAGTTCTCACGCGGTTCCTTCTACTACCCTGGGTGATCCGTCTGAGGACTCTGACCCTTCAGAATTATGCTAATGATAGTTCTGCCTCTGGTTTTAGTTATAGTAGCTCAGTTAGTAGTGTGTTTGTCCACTGATCCGAAGGTTGCTGTTATTGTGTCCTTGGGCACAATAGTTAGTAATAGTAATAGTAATAGTAATAGTAATAATAATAGTAATAGTAATAGTAATAGTAACTGCTTGTATTATTGTAGAAGAAATTGACCTACAATCCTACGGAGGCACCACAACAATAGTGGTCAGTGTCCAGACAACTTTAAGCTATTACCATTAAATTGGTAAGTGATGTTATTATGTTGTTGTAGATTAGTACTGCTGTGGCATTTCTAAGGTATAAAGAATAAACTGAGAAGTCAAAGAGTCTTACTTAGACATAGACTTAGACAAACTTTATTGATACACATGGGAAATAATTTGGGCACAGTAGCTCACACATCACAATAAATATAATAACAGAGAGCAAAAATATAAATGGTAATAATAATGTCTAAATGAGTAGCAAAAAATATAGAAAGAGACAGGTGTCAAATAAGATAAATGTAAATAAATGTAAATGTACAGTAAAATAGAAAGATGAGTAATAAAATATAAAATCACAGCTTTATAAAAGAGGTCATAGGAAGACAGTGCAACAATGATATGATGATTGACAGGACATAGGGTTATCTGTTACATAAGGGTGAGTTGCTGTACAGTTGTAGGGAGTATGGTATGAATGCAGTCCTGCTTTTCTCACTGTTTGAGCAGAGCTGTAGGAGCCTGTTGGAGAAAGAGCTCCCTCTGTAGTCTGGTGCAGTGGGTGAACAGGAGGGTCCATGATGAAGAGCAGTTTGTCCAGTGTCCTCCTGTCCCTCACTGTGACAAATGTCTCCAGCTCATAGTCGATCACATGACCAGCTTTACAGATCAGTTTGTCAAACTGCCCAGTGTCCCTTTTACTGGTGGTGCTCCCCCAGCAAACCACAGTGAAGTACAGGGTGCTGGCCTCCACAGACTGGTAGAAGATCTCTAGTTACTTGCTGCACACATTAAAAGACCTGAGCTTTCTCAGGTAGCCCTTCTTATACGCAGCATTACCATTGTCCCTCCAGTCCAGTCTGTTGTTCACCTGGACTCAAAGGTACTTGGAGCAGTCCACTATTTCTACCTCATGGCCCTGGTAGGTGATGGGCTCCACTGGTGTCCTCTTCCTCCTGAAGTCAGTCACCGGTTCCTTGATCTTGTCAGCATTCAGAAGCAGATGGTTTGCCTGGGACCACTCCACAAAGTTTGCAATGAGTGTCCTGTCCTCCAGCTCCTGTGCCTGTCCCTGACAAAGGCGTCTTTCCCTAGTCTAGTGGTCATAACAAAGCATACAGGACTTTTAAATCCCTTGGGGTGGCACATGGAAGATATTGAGCCACATGGCCATAGGTTAAAGACATAACACCATCTTACAAGGACAGGTCAGCACAAGGCTGGGTCATTAGCAGTAAAATAACATGTGAAAAACAAGTCAGAACCGGTGAAGACACAATTATAAGGATACATAGAATGGGCGCAAGAGGCCCCTCGCCAAATGGCAAAGTACAAGTTTGATTAACAAAAGATTATACGTAGTGAGGTAATCAGCAGCAGCTCAAGGGTCGTCCATGGACCCCCTTTATGATCAGAAATCATAAGGCATAAGAAATAATAAACTTACAATACTTATATAAGTGTCTGCATAAGTGATTAAAGATGATTATTGTAAAGATTTCATTTACAATAATCTAATGTAATGGATTATTACAGTTACATACTTTTGTAATTCATCAGGTTACTTCATCACAACCATCAACACTTATTAAATTTTTTGAGTGTACACTTAAAGTACAGAAAATGAGGTGGTCTGAGAAAACAAATTTGGGGAGATCTTAAACTGCCATTGAGCATTTTAGTTTGTGTGTTGAATAAGAAGTTGTGAAAGTCTCAAGTCCATATTGTCTTCCATTTCAGAATTAGACCTTAAAACATGTAGTAGTATTTATGAGTTGTGTAAAACTCTCCAGTAAAACAACAGAAAAGTGCAACATCTGCGTTTGAATTGGTCATTGCTGCAGGTACCGCACTTTTCTTTTAAATCAATGAAAAAAAATAAATAAAAAAATGTAGTTACTGCAACTTTCACAATCAAGATGTCCCAAAAAACAAGAGAGAGTTGAGCCATTAAAATTTGTCACCAAATAAAACAGATGCTAAGAAGGTGGTTTTTGGTCTTAATTCAATTTTGACAAAATTATTGCTGCATTTTTCCTTTGTAGATAAGAATTGCCAATGTTTCTTGAATGAAAGGTAAAAGGTAGCATAAATTTATGAAGTGATGTTATTATTTTGTTCCAGATGAGTGCATTAGACAGTAATATACTTTTGCCTTTCATCAGGGTGCTTATATAAGAAGAGAAATGTTAAAATGTTAATAATGAATATAAGGCATATATTGAAATAATTTACTGATATATAACTATAGTACAACATTGAACTTTCAGCCACTTCTGTTGCTTAAATTACAGCCAGTCAGTGCCATCATAAGTGAAGTCCATCACCATGAGCTCAGAGTCCAAACATACTAATAAATCACTTAATTACTAATAATGATACATTCTGATAATGCAGAAGAAATATTTGCATTCTGAATTAAGGACATGCCTGGGTCCCAGTAGGTCCTATGAAAGTAAGTGCACCTCAAAAAAGGCCAGGGAGTCAATGTTTCTGGTGCAGAATTTAGACTGCTGAGCACTAGTTTGTGCTCTAGTCTGTGTGGAAAGGATTCCAGTCCTCTCTTGTGCTGTCATCACATAATAAAACAATAAAATATATCTTTTTACTTCTTTATTTGACCCTCCTTAGCCTCCCTCTATCGCCCTTGTCACAAACCTGAGGTGTTTACCTATTTTCCACTTTGACCACCCTCACAGCACCTCTCTGCAGGAAACACTCATTCATAAATGGAACTGGGTCACATCCCCTCCTCCCCTTTATTCCAGCCCAAATTAGAGCAGCTCTTTAAATGTTAAGTTATTCATCAAATGTAATTTGGAGAGCATACATTATCCTTGGCCGTGGCTGCTGGGTTAGTTCATGTGAAGTGTGGAGACTACATGTTCTTCAGAATGTAATAAAAGTTGGAGTGAAATGAAAGGAAAGGCCGACACTAAGGAATATGTGCTTAGTGTAAGTGTGTGAATTTATGATTACTATAGTTCATTTCCTCTGTGTTGACTGACTCTGCACTATTCAAACTGAGTAATCTGCTACATAAAACTGTAAATACATCAGCCACAAGGATCTGGGTTTAACTTTAAACAGCTGATATACTGTAGTGAGAAATATATTGAATATTGAAAATTAGACATTTGAGAAATATGTGCTCTCTTTTGTGTTCCAGTCCAAGCTGGGCTACGTGACCTTGTTCCTGTGCACCTTCCACGGTTACCTGTATGGATGGGACAAGTTTCTACGACTCTCGTCCTATAAATGGTACACTGTGCCGGGCTACCTGCTGTCCCTGGTGGTGCCCACAGTGGTGCTGGGGCTGAAGCTGCTGTTGCTGCTGCCATGTGTGGATCGCAGGCTGACACGCATCAGGAGGGGCTGGGAGGACACCCCACAGGACTCCTCTGAGCGCAAATTATTAATTTAAAATGAAACACATCAACATGAACAGACACAACTCTTGAACTTATGCCCCCGACTGTCCAGCACTTTCTTCAGGACTTGCATCCCTGGTGCATGAACAAGCTGTAGGCTTATGTAACATGTCCCACGGTGACATCAGGACGCCCATCCAGAACCACAAGTGTGACAGTCTATGTCCCACCCCACATCAGAATGCAGGCCTGGGCAAACAAGTATGCAGCAGTGCACAGGACAACACCATCACATCATGTGATGGTGTGAAGAAGGCACAGAAAGAAACACAAAAAGCAACTTTACAATAAGCAAATGCTTTTGTTAATGTACTTATTACTGTTTTTGTTTTGTTTTTTTATTTAAGAAAAAATAAATAAATAAATAAAAACAATTAAACTGTTCTGCTCTGACTCACATTTTCTGCACATTCCTTTTGACTTCCAAAGAAAATTGAAAATGCAAATACAAAAACAATATTATCATAGAAACTATGTAAGTTATGTTTTTTTAATAGTAGACAGGAGAAGAAACTATGACAAGAAAGTGCAAATCCTCACATGACCAAAAAGTTGCCTGAGAATGCCATCCTAATTGTTAAATAGCGACATTTCCTGCATATACAAGGAACTGAAGGAAAGACACTGTCAGGCAAGCTAAAAAGAGGGAAGTTGTTCAAACTTAAAATTCCTCATTTGTATTCTTGATTTCTTTACTTGCACAACAAGCTCTCAAGGTAAGATCTGTGGCAAAGGCTCCATGCTGAAGAAATACTGTGTTACTTTCTTAATGAAAGTATTTGTATGTTTTTTATGGAAATAGATGAAGTTTTTGGTGTGCCTTGTGATTCTGATCTCTAATGCTGCAGCAATTCAAGGTGAGACATTTTATGATTATTATTATTATTATGAATAAGTCTGACTTTAGGATGTGTAATGTAAATAACTGTGCCTTCATTAGTTGAATCATTACTTTCAGAGCATATCAGTAAAGCAGAACTAAAGTTAAACAAAAACATTTCGTATTTCCATGTATTTCAAAAAGCTCATGAATTAAGATTTCAAGATTAAGCACATTGCCATTGTTACAACAAGACTGCATTAAGGGTGCATTCATACTTGCCTGCACACCACATGGAAATTGTGATGTAACTTTATCTGAGCTAAACCAGGAATAGGCCAGTATTAAACCAGGACAAGTACAGAACCAAAGGATGTCTACAAACCAGACTTAACTGGGATCAAACTAGAACAAGTATGAATGCAACTTAAAGCATCATCGCTCCATCAACGTACCACAGTTTAGCTTGTAAGTACAAATTCACAGGACAAATATGAATGTATGTTTGGGTTTAGATCTTTCAGGTAAAATGTTCACATTCCCTCAACAAACCAATGCTGCTCATGTGAGGTTGACAACATCCATAAAGACCTTCAATGCTTTGACTGTCTGCCACAGGTACTCATAAATCACATTACATTACATTACATTACATTGCATTTTGTTCTTCTTGTTGTTTTCTCTCCAGATCATTCACTGACCTCAAGCGGGACTATGGGCTCTTTTCAATGGCTCTGCCCACTAATGCCAATGAATTCCTGATGTTTTTCAAATATGATGTCACTGAAATGCAGCCCCATGTGAGGACTGATAAAATTGGGTACAGAGTGGCAGACTACAAACACAACACGTGGTACTCGATCTGCACCAGCTGGGATTCCAGCACTGGACTGGTGCAGATCTGGATCAATGGACAGCCCTTTGGCCGCAAATATATTCCTGGAGGGCAAGCAGTGATGAATGGGTCCCCTATTATCATTTTAGGACAGGTACATGAAGCTTAAATGTCACTGTTTACTTTAACATCATACTAATCTGTGTTTCTAACCCAAAAGAAGCCTATATAACCTGTATGTTTGTCCATGAACAACCACTCTGACACTTACAATCACGGCTCCGATCACTTCATCTCAACTAATCTAGTGGTTTTTAAAATATGAATCACAAAACATTTATTAATAAATGATCAGCAGTATCAGTATTGTGTTATTTGATTTGATCATTTTTAGCCATATGCTGTGCCTTTTCTCATTGCAACAACATTTATTAAGATCTTTATTATTATGTTTGAGCCACAATGACACAACCTCTAATTTGATCTGTCTGTAATTTGTCTGAGTTGTCCTCCAACCAAATGGTCACTGGTTAAACCCCGGCTTAATGCATTAAAAGTGTGTGCAACAGGAGCAAACCCCCACCAAGAGAGAACTGATAATTGCCAGTGACTTAGTTGCAAGCATAGATTTAGTCATTATCATGTAAGCTAAGTTAACAGGGACATCATTACTGTAAATATATTTTGAATTCTTTTGTTATTGAGCAGATAGTATGGCAGACTATTACAGGAGATGCTCATTAAGATCAATGAATGACCTCATCAGGAGAGGCTGGGAGCGCCTGGATACAATGAGACAATTACATACATTGGTTTCCTCTAATCTCCGGGATAATGTGATTTATATAATGCATCTAGATTGTGTTTGTATCTCCAGGAGCAGGATTCCCATGGAGGAGGCTTTGACATTAACCAGAGTTTTGTGGGGATGATGACTGATGTGCACATGTGGGACTACGTGCTCTCGTCCTGTGAGATCCAGAAGTATATGGCCGAGCTCAGCTTCACTCCAGGGAACATTCTCAACTGGGCAGCTCTGGACTTCCAGATCAACGGACGAGTGCTGATCGAGAATAAGCAGATGTACTGTCAGTAAAATTTAAAGCCGCATTCTGTAATTTCTGGTGGAGGGTCAGTTAAATACTTTTCTCAGTGGAGATTTCATTGTTTTATCTGGAATTTTTCACAGTATGGCATTAAATCTTTCTATCATCATGGAGACCAAACCAGACCAAGTGTCAGGTCAGATCTGTGGAGAGGCGACCCCGCTCACAGTCAGAATGGTTGTTTTTATAGGTGTTTTTGAGCAACAGGGCCACCTGTAATTGAGTAAATGTAAAGTAGAGCTGCATAATGTCATATTGTGGAACATTCCAGGCAGAGCAATAACATCGGCTAAGAAACAAGCAAACCAAAAAGTTACATAGTGCACCTTTAACACAGGGCTGGGGTGTGTATGTGGGTGTGTATTTTTTGTGTATTTTTTTTGTCATACATTCTGCATTATTCAGGTGTGTCAGAGTGTTGAGTATCTCTGTGTTGTAATGGTGTGTTTTTTCTGTGTTTTAAAGTTTCTATATTACTCACAATTGACTGATGTGAAGTTTTTACCATGTTAAAATATTGTTACAGTATCAAAAACATACCCTGAGTTATGTTTTGTTTCATTCACACATTCACACACAGTAATTCTGCAGTATTGGGCTGTCTACATATCTCAAGGTCAAAATGCTATATTCCACCTTGTGATGTCATGAAATGGGAGCTATTTTTAGGCAAAAATCAAACTGCTGTTGTTGTCTCAATTTTAATGATGGGTAATTCCAGGGCTGCATATTATCCAAATGATTCTAGTGAGGTGATATAGAGTTTACAACACAGAGCAGCGCTTCTTGTATTCCACTTCATGACATCACAATGTGGAACAAAGTGTTTTCAGTTTGAGAGAGAATATGCAGGATTTGTGTGTTAAACATGCGTGAATGAAACAAAACACAACATGGGTATATTTTTGATGAGGATGCAAAATCATAACATAACAAAAAAATTGCACAATAGGCCTTTAACTTTGTTGTGAAACATTGTGGCTTTGGTGCTGCACAAATGAATTTTGCTTCCTTTTTACTTTGCTTTTTTATTTTATAAAGTTTTTTTTTATTTTATATAGTTCCTTAAAAGCATTAAAAACATGGTTTAAGTGTCTGTAAGTGTAATCAAATAATGCACATACTCAAAACATGAGAGCACTACTCACCTCAGTAAAACATACAGTCACATTTATAGTCTAGTTTATACAAAATGGATCTAAAAAAAACCCACTTTCAGTATTTCCAATACGAGCGTTAGGTGATTTTCAACAAAAGGTGAGAGTGACTAACTGAAAAACTAACTAGCCTGACTGTAATTTTATGCATGAGAGACTAGTTTAACAGCACAAATCAGCTCCCCTGTTGAAATTCCAACTAAATCGTCTCTTTCAGGTCAGATTGTGTTATAAAAATAAAGCTCAAAGGAAAGTCTAAATTGAGTAAAGAGCCTCAAACAGAGTAGAACCTCGAGTTAGCATCACACCCCCACAAAATGTTGATAATGATAACATCAGCTGCAAAGTATCAATTTATTACAATGTACTTTGAATTCACAAATGTGTGACTAGACATTACTACAACATTCAGCATTTTAACAGTAATGATTTTAGCTGCCCTCATCTGTGTTAAATATTGATTCTTGATATTGCAGCTGATGTCATCAATATTTCCTGGAGGTGTGATTCCAACTAGATGCACTGCTCTGTCTGAAGCTCTGTTACTCAAGTTAGACTTTAATCTGAGTGCTGATTTAATTGTAATTACAAAATAAATGAACTGTTAGACAAGCCCCTCTCAAATAGCATTACTGTCCCAAGCGAGCTTGCATTACAGTTTTTCAGTTTGTCCCCCTTTTGTGTGGAACATCAAACGCTTAAAGAGGAAAATACATGTAGAACATCCCCAGCATGATGTCACTGCAAATATACTGACCTACAATGAATGGCATAGAGAGAGAGAGAGAGAGAGAGAGAGAGAGAGAGAGAGAGAGAGAGAGACACACAGACAGACAGACAGACACACTGACTTTAATGATCCCGAGGGAAATTCAAGTTTTGTTGCAGATCTTGTGTTAGGGCAGTTTGAGGAGAAGAAGAGCCAAAAGTGTCCCTTCTCTGTGTTCTGCAGCATCACATCACTTTGTGAATGTTGGTGGTCACTGGTGTTTTAGTCAGTGATGAAATGGAACATTCCCAGAATTTCCTCTGGAAGGTCTAGCTCCTTACCTAGCCTCTTGCACAGAGGACGTCTCCACAGATACAGGAAAAATGTTTAGTCCACACAATTCAACCTTCCCTGTCTTGTGTCCTTTGAACTCTTCTTCTTAGCTGGTGAAATTCCCATGATATGATGAAAACTGAGCTAAAAAACTAAAAGTGTGTGAGAAAGGTAGCCTCAAAAGCAGCCAACCATTTTTTGCCACGGGAATAATTACAGCCAGAGAAAACAATAACATCACCATGGGGACAAGTTGCATTGTCCAACGGAAATTTTGGCTATTACAAAATTTTGGACATGTGCAGGAAATGCATTACTCCATTGGTATGAAGCTTAAAAGAGGAAGGAAAACATTGCGTGTTTGCCCACAACCACTACGCCAAGCACTAAACTCTGTTATTCTGAAGAGAGATAAATTCAATTTTATTTTTACCTCAGAAGTGACCAATGAGCTCCTTCGTTTCACGTGTGTCACTGAAAAAAAAAACTTTGATTGCGCGATCACATTAGGATAGGCTTGAGACGCAACAGAGGGTGTGGGGATCAGACTGATATACATCTGTGTGTAAAATACAGACAGATTTGATTTTGAGTTCGCGAGGCAACAGTTCCTCTGGTCTGTAATTGAAAAACAAGGTCAAGGTAAGTTTACTGATATGAAGAAAAATGATGAGGGACTTAAGTTACCAATTTGTATTTCATTTATTTAATCTTTTATGTGTGTTGAAATAGATGAAGTTCTTGGTGTGTCTAGTGATTTTTGTTGCAAACGCAGGAGCCATACAAGGTAAAATGCTAGCAATTTTATACTAAACCATTATCTGAATATCAACTGTATAAAATGTAGCTGTATTTAAAACTGAAGCAGACATATAAGCACTGAAACAAGTCATGAAAAGTAATGTAGCACTGACACTGGTTTGACAAGACTACCATATTGTTTTAAGACCAACAGCATCCAGGATAAATTAAGCTTTCTGATATGAATTAGGTTATGTGTTTTCCTAATTGTGTGTGTTTTTTTTTCCAGATTTGTCTGGTAAAATGTTTACGTTTCCACAACAAACCAAGACTTATTATGTGAAGCTGATCACAGCAAAAAGGAACCTAGGTGCTGCCACTGTCTGCCACAGGTACCACTATAAACTAAAACAATGCTTAATAAAAATATATGAAATATCCAAATCCAGATTATTTATAAAGCACTATTAAAAATGAACATGGTTGATCAAAGTGCTGTACGCAGAGATAAAAATATACGTATGATGCAGTGAAAGTATTCAACAGTCAAAGATCTCAAAACTTGTTAAAAGCCAAAGAAAACAAATGTGTTTTAAGAAGTAAGTTAAAAGCAAGAAGAGAGTCCGCTTGTCTAATGTGCATAGGCATCTCATTCCGTTATTTAGGCCCAAGAACAGGACATGCTCTGTCTCCTTCTGTTTCCTCTTAGACTAAGGAGCCACAAGCAGAGCCTGCTCAGCTGATTTTTTTAGGCATTTAAAGACAAATAAAAGTATTTTAAAATCCACACTGAAATGAACAAGGAGCCAGTGAAGAGCAGATTTGGGGACACTTGGTCGTATTTCTGTGAATCTGTCAATAGATGCTCAGCTTTGAACTACCAACCCTTCCATTACTGGGCAAGAAACTCCTGCCAATATTTACTCTCCAAAGATGCGTTGTTGTTTATGTAACTTTTCTGGTGGAGGGTCCACTACTTGCTTGTCTCCATGGAGAGTAGGTTACCGCGTTGCCTTGAATGTTCCACAGTATTGCATTTATCTTACGAATGAGACAAGCAAGTGACCTGTACAGTTACAGGTCAGATCTGTGGGGCAGTGACCCCAGGAACAGGGCATGTTTTCAAAGAGCTTGATACATATGTTTTAGCCTGATTCATCGGCCGGTTTCACTTTGTAGAAACTGTCTGACGTCGCAGCATTAGGATTCGTTTGCTCGAAGGTAGGCGGGTACTTTTTTATTTAACCAATCGGTGCTATTTGGTCGTGACCTATGTAATGCACCACTAACGGGGCTAACTGGTATATTAAGCTTTTCCTAAATCCCATAGGAAAAGGGTCTTTCCCCTTGATAAATTCACCAAACATTCTCTTTGTTCTGGCTTTAAATCCTTGATCTTGGGAATCGTTGCCAACACAGGACATTTGCCTGAACTCGCTCCTCCGGGGTTTTTATGAAAGTGTATTTCGATTCCTGACCTAGTCGCTGGAGAGAAATTAAATTGACCGCAGGCACCAGGTGGCACCAGCCTGGCTACATATGTTTAGCCTGCAAAACATTAGCTGGATTCATCAGCCAGTTTCACTTCGTAGAAACCGTCTGACCTCGCAGTGTTAGAATTCGTTCGTTCAACAGTAGGCAGGGTACTTTTTATCATTTAACCAATCGCACTGCTATTTGGTAGTCACATATGTAATGCGCCACTAATGGGGCTAACTGGTATATTAAGCTTTTCCCAAATCCCATAGGAAGAAGGGCAATAACGTCTTTCCCTTTGATGAAATTCACCAAACATTTTCCTTATTCCGGCTTTAAATCCTCAATCTTGGGATTCGTTGCCAACACAGAATGTAAGGCTCTTTGCTGATTGGCTGGTGCCCAAACTTACACTTCCAGGGTTCTTGCAAACTGTCTAGTGTATTCCGATTCCTGATCTAGTCACTGGAGAGAAATGAAATTGAGCGGAGGCACTAGGTGGCACCAGCTTGGCTACATATGTTTAGCCTGCAAACATAACATCTCCATGGAAACACCATAAAAGTTACATACATACATACCTCACCTACAGACTTTTTTATTTTTATTTTTTTTTTTTTTAACCACACCTTTTATTTATTTATTGTCCTCTCAGGTCATTCACAGACCTCAAACGGGACCACTGCCTTTTCTCAAAGTCAACACCTTCTTTTCCCAATGAGTTCCTGGTGTTTTATGATTACACCAATAAGGAAGTGGAGATCCATTTGAAGGAACAGAAGGCTGAATATAGGTTCCTGGACTACAAACCCAACCAGTGGCACTCCCTCTGCACCACCTGGGACATGGGTTCTGGACTGGTGCAGGTCTGGTTCAACGGAATGCCCCTCGCCAGAAAATTTGTCAAGCAAGCAAACATGACCGGAGAGCCCATCATCATTTTAGGACAGGTTTGGCCCTAAACACATAAACACCACTTAGATTTGAGATTGCAAAGAGATTTCTTACCCCTTAAAACATCCAGGTCCTTGAAACAGTTTACTTCATATGATCACCTTCATTTAAATGTAGGGTACACTGTTTTCGTTTTGTTTTGTTGTTGTTTTTTTTATGCCACACAAGCCTCCGTTGTCTCTAATGTTTAAAGTGTTTGTATCTCCAGGAGCAGGATTCCCATGGAGGAGGCTTTGACATTAACCAGAGTTTTGTGGGGATGATGACTGATGTGCACATGTGGGACTACGTGCTCTCGTCCTGTGAGATCCAGAAGTATATGTCTGAGCTCAGCTTCACTCCAGGGAACGTTCTCAACTGGGCAGCTCTGGACTTCCAGATCAACGGACGAGTGCTGATCGAGAATAAGCAGATGTACTGTCAGTAAACTGTGCGTGGATTTCAGAGCGATGAAGATCTTGCACTGTTGCCATGGAAATAATAATCCAAAACTGTTATGTATTTTGATTATGAGCAAAAGTTCTCAAAATATAATCTGTAAAGTGAAAGTTGAAGCCAATAAAGTTAGAGAGTTGGGGCTTGTCTGTGGTCAGTCAGATAATTTAATCTGTGTATTTAAGCCTCTATTTCTATGTGAAATAAAAACCTAGAAGGGAAAAAAAAGTATACTGAATACCTTTTACACAGTATTTTCATATTTCAAAATTGTTCATCTTTCATGTCTTGTAAAATTAGAAAACACAAACATTACCCGTAAAAGCAATTTATTTAGCAAATGCAGTTCTAAATAGAAAACTAGAACAAAACATCCTCCTATCACACGTTAATGTTTATTGATCAAATCATTTCATTCAATGATTTACCTTTCAAATGACTGATAAAGATGTTTGAAGCTCATATCAATACAATAACAAACTCCAACCTGTCATTTTACAAAAACACAACTCAAGAGAGTGATGGATAGTTGGAAATTAATTAATAACTTTAACAAGTGTACTTTGATACATCAACAACTTTTGTTTGGCATCAGTTTGTGAATTTTACAATAAGGAAATAATAATCCTGTTCCGTGGAAATAGCCATTTATGTTAATGATAAATAAAGAGGGTGAGTATATAAGGAACAGTCACAAAACACTCACAAACTACTGATGAAAAGAACTGCAACAGGACTCAAGGTAACAGCAGCATAAATCTTATATTTTCTAAGTATTTGAGATTGATAAAGGAAACATGTTGTGTTTCGTGTATTGTTTTGTGATTAGATGGCTCTCGTCTGCATTTTCCTCTCATTACTACTGGGACTGTCAGCTGCTGTTCCTCAAGGTAAACATGCAACAACCCTTTGCACAAAGAAGTGGTTAAACGATGCATTTAAATTTATTAATATATGAATGTGCTACTCAAGATCTGTCTGGAAAGATGCTGGTTTTTCCACAAGAAACTAACACGGCTCATGTGAGACTCACCACCTCCAGACAGAACCTGGAAGCAGTCACTGTGTGCATGAGGTCAGAGGTCAGAAGGGACACACAATCTGGAGGAGACTGTGTACAATTTTTTTATGGTTTTGTTTCTTTTGTGTCTGCAGGTATTTCACAGACCTCACCCGAGCGTTCAGCTTTTTCTCTTTGTCCTTTGTCTTTGGCCTTTCTAACTAAATACATATTTATTTTTATGTAAATGAAACATAAATGAGTGTTGTGTTGCCTTTATCTGGATGTTGGTGAGGCACAACTCTCACTTAAGAAGGGATTTGGCTGCTTAAGAATGCCTTATGAATCTGATACAGACTTCTATCAGCATCTTCTTAAAGTGGAAGTTACAATTTTTTTTCAAGAAAAGATTAATGAATCAGGCCAATTGTCTGCAACTGAATAAATTAAAGATAGTTCATATCATACTGAAACAGTCAGAGGAAATCAATAACAACTGCTCTAACAGAAAATGAAATAATGTACTTTTAAACAGGGTGACATTTTATTTAAATCGGATCAACATTTCGTTCTTGTGTTGGCAGGTGTTTCTCAGACCTCACCCGATCATTCACCCTTTTTGGTTTGGCCACGCCCACACATAATAATGATTTTCACATCTTCAAGATGAATGCAAGAGATGAAATAAATGTTGATGTTAGAAATGTTGTCCTAAACTTTAAAGGGCAGGATTATCAGATTAACACGTGGCAGTCCATCTGTGGCATATGGGACGCAGCCTCTGGTCTGGTGCAACTGTGGGTCGATGGAAAACCTTCAAGTATGAAATTTGCCACTAACTCCCACATCCATGGAATCATGCTCATTGTGCTCGGACAGGTACAAAAACAACCAGTCCTACTTATTTACTGCTATATTGATAGATGCACTGACAGAAACATGTACCCACAGGACCAGGATTCCTATGGAGGGAGCTTTGACAAGGCTCGGTCTTTTGTGGGCATGATCAGTGACATGCACATGTGGGACTATGTGCTCTCTCCAATCTACATATACAGATACAGTCAAAAGTTCACTTTTCCAGGTGGAAATGTACTTAACTGGAATTCAATAGATTTTCATATCACAGACAGAGTCCTAATCCAAGAAGAACAGCATTTGTAGAAAGTGAAGTATATTATGGTTGCCTAGTTTGGTGGGTTAACTGTGAACGACTGAACTCATCAATGCAGTGATGAAAATGTCTGGCTGCAATGACAAACCATCTCTGCAAACAATTTCTGAGGACACAACACAACATTTATTACCTTCACGCTTTTAAGGGCCATAAAATGAAGCTGATATCAAGACAATAACAAACTCAAACATCAATATAAACATTGATCTTTACAATTTTGACACAATCACAATTTGAAACAAAACACAAGTCCACTGAAAAATTATGTACAAAAGGACACAAACTAAAGCTACAGTTCCCTTTTCCCCACAACTCGTAAACAATCTGGATGTGTGCAAAGGGACTGGACCTCGGTGGGAGTTTGCACGTTCTTCCCGTCCTTGATATATTGATCACTTTAGTCAAACAAGTTTTGAACGATTAGGGTATATAAAATGCTAAACAAACTGCTACATGTTTTCCTTTGTCCCAACAGCAGCAGTTCTCTTATCCTTTGGTTCTATTTTCAGTGTATGTTGTTTTTGTTTCTGACACTACACACCTGCAGATGTCATTTTTTTCACTAATAATGTATTTTTTCATTCATTCAGTTCAATATGTTTGATCGGTGAGCATACAGAGGATATGTGTGAAGGATGTCTTAAATGCCATGGAGAAGTTTTGAATGTATCATGTATTTCATTGTTTTTAGGTTGAAGAAAATAAAACAACTACACTCTGAATTAAATGTAAAGTAGATCAGTCTATTCACATAGTTGTGTTATGCTGGAGCCCATCTTTTATCTTCTTCTTAGAAATAGACTGATAAAAGTGTGTGTTAAGTTTGGACAGAACTAAAATGCATGTATTGTTAAAGGTTTCAAAGAAACATTGGTCATTTTTTTTCTGGCAGTGAAAGTGAAATCTGCAAATGCATTAACATATATATATATATATATATATATATATATATATATATATATAATATATATATATATATATACACACATCAGTAGTTTTTATAGGTTGAAACCTGATGGACTCATAAGTTAAAGTACAGTGGACACATAAGATATCAGTCTTAGTGATAAATAAAGAGAGCGAGTAAACAGTCACAGAACACTCACAAACTACTGATGAAAAGAACAGTAACAGGACTCAAGGTAACAGCAGGATAAATGTATGTTTTAAGTATTTGGTTGATTCAGAAAACTATAAAATATATGTTATTGTTTTGTGATTAGATGGCTCTGGTCTTCATTTTTGTCTCATTACTACTGGGAATGTCAGATGCTCTTCCTCAAGGTAAATGTTTATCAAAACTAAACTAAATTTTGTGTTTGATCATTTTATATTCCAACATGTGACTGAAGATCTGTCTGGAAAGATGCTGGTTTTTCCACAAGAAACTGACACGGATCATGTGACACTCATCACCTCCAGACAGAACCTGAGAGTGACCACTGTGTGCTTGAGGTCAGATCAGATGTCACACCTAGGTGCTGCCACTGTCTGTCACAGGTACCACTATAAACTAAAACAATGCTTAATAAAAATATATGAAATATCCAAATCCAGATTATTTATAAAGCACTATTAAAAATGAACATGGTTGATCAAAGTGCTGTACGCAGAGATAAAAACATACGTATGATGCAGTGAAAGTATTCAACAGTCAAAGATCTCAAAACTTGTTAAAAACCAAAGAAAACAAATGTGTTTTAAGAAGTAAGTTCAAAGCAAGAAGAGAGTCCGCTTGTCTAATGTGCATAGGCATCTCATTCCGTTATTTAGGCCCAAGAACAGGACATGCTCTGTCTCCTTCTGTTTCCTCTTAGACTAAGGAGCCACAAGCAGAGCCTGCTCAGCTGATTTTTTTAGGCATTTAAAGACAAATAAAAGTATTTTAAAATCCACACTGAAATGAACAGGGAGCCAGTGAAGAGCAGATTTGGGGACACTTGGTCGTATTTCTGTGAATCTGTCAATAGATACTCAGCTTTGAACTACCAACCCTTCCATTACTGGGCAAGAAACTCCTGCCAATATTTACTCTCCAAAGATGCGTTGTTGTTTATGTAACTTTTCTGGTGGAGGGTCCACTACTTGCTTGTCTCCATGGAGAGTAGGTTACCGCGTTGCCTTGAATGTTCCACAGTATTGCATTTATCTTATGAATGAGACAAGCAAGTGACCTGTACAGTTACAGGTCAGATCTGTGGGGCAGTGACCCCAGGAACAGGGCATGTTTTCAAAGAGCTTGATACATATGTTTTAGCCTGATTCATCGGCCGGTTTCACTTTGTAGAAACTGTCTGACGTCGCAGCATTAGGATTCGTTTGCTCGAAGGTAGGCGGGTACTTTTTTATTTAACCAATCGGTGCTATTTGGTCATGACCTATGTAATGCACCACTAACGGGGCTAACTGGTATATTAAGCTTTTCCTAAATCCCATAGGAAAAGGGTCTTTCCCCTTGATAAATTCACCAAACATTCTCTTTGTTCTGGCTTTAAATCCTTGATCTTGGGAATCGTTGCCAACACAGGACATTTGCCTGAACTCGCTCCTCCGGGGTTTTTATGAAAGTGTATTTCGATTCCTGACCTAGTCGCTGGAGAGAAATTAAATTGACCGCAGGCACCAGGTGGCACCAGCCTGGCTACATATGTTTAGCCTGCAAAACATTAGCTGGATTCATCAGCCAGTTTCACTTCGTAGAAACCGTCTGACCTCGCAGAGTTCGTTCAACAGTAGGCAGGTACTTTTTATCATTTAACCAATCGCTGCTATTTGGTAGTCACATATGTAATGCGCCACTAATGGGGCTAACTGGTATATTAAGCTTTTCCCAAATCCCATAGGAAGAAGGGCAATAATGTCTTTCCCCTCGATGAAATTCACCAAACATTTTCCTTATTCCGGCTTTAAATCCTCAATCTTGGGAATCGTTGCCAACACAGAATGTAAGGCTCTTTGCTGATTGGCTGGTGCCCAAACTTGCACTTCCAGGGTTCTTGCAAACTGTCTAGTGTATTCCGATTCCTGATCTAGTCACTGGAGAGAAATGAAATTGAGCGGAGGCACTAGGTGGCACCAGCTTGGCTACATATGTTTAGCCTGCAAACATAACATCTCCATGGAAACACCATAAAAGTTACATACATACATACCTCACCTACAGACTTTTTTATTATTTTTTTTATTTTTTTAACCACACCTTTTATTTATTTATTGTCCTCTCAGGTCATTCACAGACCTCAAACGGGACCACTGCCTTTTCTCAAAGTCAACACCTTCTTTTCCCAATGAGTTCCTGGTGTTTTATGATTACACCAATAAGGAAGTGGAGATCCATTTGAAGGAACAGAAGGCTGAATATAGGTTCCTGGACTACAAACCCAACCAGTGGCACTCCCTCTGCACCACCTGGGACATGGGTTCTGGACTGGTGCAGGTCTGGTTCAACGGAATGCCCCTCGCCAGAAAATTTGTCAAGCAAGCAAACATGACCGGAGAGCCCATCATCATTTTAGGACAGGTTTGGCCCTAAACACATAAACACCACTTAGATTTGAGATTGCAAAGAGATTCCTTACCCCTTAAAACATCCAGGTCCTTGAAACAGTTTACTTCATATGATCACCTTCATTTAAATGTAGGGTACACTGTTTTCATTTTGTTTTGTTGTTTTTTTTATGCCACACAAGCCTCCGTTGTCTCTAATGTTTAAAGTGTTTGTATCTCCAGGAGCAGGATTCCCATGGAGGAGGCTTTGACATTAACCAGAGTTTTGTGGGGATGATGACTGATGTGCACATGTGGGACTACGTGCTCTCGTCCTGTGAGATCCAGAAGTATATGGCCGAGCTCAGCTTCACTCCAGGGAACGTTCTCAACTGGGCAGCTCTGGACTTCCAGATCAATGGACGAGTGCTGATCGAGAATAAGCAGATGTACTGTCAGTAAACTGTGCGTGGATTTCAGAGCGATGAAGATCTTGCACTGTTGCCATGGAAATAATAATCCAAAACTGTTATGTATTTTGATTATGAGCAAAAGTTCTCAAAATATAATCTGTAAAGTGAAAGTTGAAGCCAATAAAGTTAGAGAGTTGGGGCTTGTCTGTGGTCAGTCAGATAATTTAATCTGTGTATTTAAGCCTCTATTTCTATGTGAAATATAAACCTAGAAGGGAAAAAAATATATATACTGAATACCTTTTACACAGTATTTTCATATTTCAAAATCGTTCATCTTTCATGTCTTGTAAAATTTGAAAACACAAACATTACCCGTAAAAGCAATTTATTTAGCAAATGCAGTTCTAAATAGAAAACTAGAACAAAACATCCTCCTATCACACATTAATGTTTATTGATCAAATCATTTAATTCAATGATTTACCTTTCAAAAGACTGATAAAGATGTTTGAAGCTCATATCAATACAATAACAAACTCCAACCTGTCATTTTACAAAAACACAACTCAAGAGAGTGATGGATAGTTGGAAATTAATCAATAACTTTAACAAGTGTACTTTGATACATCAATAACTTTTGTTTGGCATCAGTTTGTGAATTTTACAATAAGGAAACAATAATCCTGTTCCTTCTATTCCTGGGAATAGCCATTTATGTTAATGATAAATAAAGAGGGTGAGTATATAAGGAACAGTCACAAAACACTCACAAACTACTGATGAAAAGAACTGCAACAGGACTCAAGGTAACAGCAACATAAATCTTATATTTTCTAAGTATTTGAGATTGATAAAGGAAACATGTTGTGTTTCGTGTATTGTTTTGTGATTAGATGGCTCTCGTCTGCATTTTCCTCTCATTACTACTGGGACTGTCAGCTGCTGTTCCTCAAGGTAAACATGCAACAACCCTTTGCACAAAGAAGTGGTTAAACGATGCATTTAAATATATTAATATATGAATGTGCTACTCAAGATCTGTCTGGAAAGATGCTGGTTTTTCCACAAGAAACTAACACGGCTCATGTGAGACTCACCACCTCCAGACAGAACCTGGGAGCAGTCACTGTGTGCATGAGGTCAGAGGTCAGAAGGGGCACACAATCTGGAGGAGACTGTGTACTTTTTTTTAATGGTTTTGTTTCTTTTGTGTCTGCAGGTATTTCACAGACCTCACCCGAGCGTTCAGCTTTTTCTCTTTGTCCATACCCTCACAATCTAATGCACTTCTCATTTACAAGCAGCCAGTGAGAGATGAAATAAGTGTGACTGTAAAAAATATTGACACAATCTTGAAGGGGCAGGATTTTCAGATAAACAGGTGGCAGTCACTCTGTGCTACATGGGAAGCAGCCTCTGGTGTGGTGCAGCTGTGGATCGATGGAAAACCTTCAACTATAAAATTTGCCTCTAACGCCAACATCGGTGGACCCATCATCATTGTGCTTGGACAGGTACTGTAAACACTCTACATACAATAGGTTATGTTCATGGCATAAAATATGGCATCAGGTAGAATGCTTTTTTTTTTTTTTTGCACAAATCTGTTAATTGTGTGGATTAAAGTCAATTTTCAACTGGCTAAATATGATATTGTGATTGAATGTTGCCCCCAAGCTTCATTATTAACATTGTTGTGTCTAGAATGTAAAGATGTCACTGAACTGAGCCATTCTTTCAATGATGGAAATGTGTTGTACCCACAGGACCAGGATAACTATGGAGGGGGCTTCGACAAGGCTCAGTCTTTTGTGGGCATGATGACTGACGTCCACATGTGGGACTATGTGCTCTCTCCACAGCACATAGACAACTACAGTCAGAAGTTAAACTTTCCAGCTGGAAATGTACTCAACTGGAAGTCCATGGAGTTTCAGATCACAGGCAGAGTTTTGATCCAGAAAGAACAAAATAAGTGAATAATCAGTGCTATTATGTCATGTGTTCAATTTGATTTGTAAGTGGAGTTGTAATAAACAGTGGCATTGTATAGACAGTAACTGGTCAGTAGTTTTTATAGTTTGAAACTAGATGGAGTCATAAGTCAAAATACAGTGGACACGTAAGCTATTGGTCTAAGTGATAAATAAAGAGGATGAGTATATAAGGAACAGTCACAGAACCTTCACAAATTACTGATGAAAACAGCAACAGGACTCAAGGTAACAGAATTATTATTAGCAGTATTTTAGCAAAAACATTTGGCCTCATTCATGAAGCATTCATATGAACAAATTTATACTTAAGGGCTTCTTTTTTGGCATCTTGGACAACTTTTCCTTGTGTTGTGTGTTCTTTTGGAAGAGCAAATTCAATGAACAGTTAGGGACACTCGAACCTTTTTTTTTAAATTTTATTTATTTTTTTATTTTAGAATATTATCACTCTGATAACACAGCAAAAATCAAATTCCTTCATGATTGTAAGTTGTATATGTTCTTAATAGGGTTGGGCAAATAATATTAATAATAATAATCATGATTAATCGCATGTTATATGCAAAACCAATTAAAGAATTAAAAAGTAGAGTATAGCGCACTTTTATTGGAAATGTAAATGAAAGAGCCACACATTTGTTGTGCAAACAGCATTTCTTTCACAGGGGAACCCTCAGAGCCTTCAAGGTGTTCAGTGAAGGCTCAAGAAACAATACTGAATGGACTTTTGTACTACTAATATATATATATATATATATATATATATATATATATATATATATATATATATATATATAATATTTTTTATGCAGTGAGTAATAAACACTACACTAGTAATAATTTCTAGATCACTGTTATAAACTTGAATTGATATTTCTTGGGAAACAAAGGGTTAATATAATGGAATGGAAAATGGGAAATGGACCAATCACATTTTTTCTTCCAATGGTATCTGGGTAAATCAGTGACTCCCCCTGCAGCACTAAAGAAACAAGCTCAGGTCAGAGCGCACAGCTGGTCCGGCCAGAGCCGGAGCCCGCGGGAGAACCCGCGGACGGGCCCGCGGCTCGCGGAGGCTCGGACACGTTGCATCTCACGTGGTCAGAAAAAAAGTGTAAAGAAAAGACGTCAAACTTTTTCAAAATAAAAGCCAGTGAGAAACAGACGTTTACAATAAAATAAATAAATAAATAATAAAAACTGCGTTAACGGCGTTAAAATAATTGTCGGCGTTTATGACTTAATTAGTTAACGCAAAATTAGCGCGTTAACGTGCCCGGCCCTAGTTCTTAAATATTTTTTCATGAAAATATTACTATGTGATCCAACAACATTTATGAGGCGTTTTACAGAGCATGTACTCTGTTGGGTCTAGGCTGCAGTGAGCCTCAGTCTGCCCCAGCCCCAGTGCTCTCTGTATGGGCCACTGTCACAGCCCTGCCCCTGGGCACCGCAATGGACTTTGCACAGCATCACCCCCACAACACCCCAATCATCACACATTTCACTAAGTTTGTAACATAAGCCTTCCCTCACTGAGTGTGTTCATGTGAGTTTGGACATTTGAAATCACTGCTTAATCTGTAAAACAGCGTAGTATCGACACGCTCCACCTGACTGCCTCGTTCACTCCTGCGCTTCCACGAGTCATAATGCCAAACCTGTATTGGCCATACATGGAATTTCAGAGGGTCTTTCTAACTAAATACATATTTATTTTTATGTAAATGAAACATAAATGAGTGTTGTGTTGCCTGTATCTGGATGTTGGTGAGGCACAACTCTCACTTAAGAAGGGATTTGGCTGCTTAAGAATGCCTTATGAATCTGATACAGACTTCTATCAGCATCTTCTTAAAGTGGAAGTTACAATTTTTTTTCAAGAAAAGATTAATGAATCAGGCCAATTGTCTGCAACTGAATAAATTAAAGATAGTTCATATCATACTGAAACAGTCAGAGGAAATCAATAACAACTGCTCTAACAGAAAGTGAAATAATGTACTTTTAAACAAGGTGACATTTTATTTAAATCGGATCAACATTTCGTTCTTGTGTTGGCAGGTGACTCTCAGACCTCACCCGATCATTCACCCTTTTTGATTTGGCCACGCCCACACATAATAATGATTTTCACATCTTCAAGATGAATGCAAGAGATGAAATAAATGTTGATGTTAGAAATGTTGTCCTAAACTTTAAAGGGCAGGATTATCAGATTAACACGTGGCAGTCCATCTGTGGCACATGGGACGCAGCCTCTGGTCTGGTGCAACTGTGGGTCGATGGAAAACCTTCAAGTATGAAATTTGCCACTAACTCCCACATCCATGGAATCATGCTCATTGTGCTCGGACAGGTACAAACACAACCAGTCCTACTTATTTACTGCTATACTGATAGATGCACTGACAGAAACATGTTGTACCCACAGGACCAGGATTCCTATGGAGGGAGCTTTGACAAGGCTCGGTCTTTTGTGGGCATGATCAGTGACATGCACATGTGGGACTATGTGCTCTCTCCAATCTACATATACAGATACAGTCAAAAGTTCACTTTTCCAGGTGGAAATGTACTTAACTGGAATTCAATAGATTTTCATATCACAGACAGAGTCCTAATCCAAGAAGAACAGCATTTGTAGAAAGTGAAGTATATTATGGTTGCCTAGTTTGGTGGGTTAACTGTGAACGACTGAACTCATCAATGCAGTGATGAAAATGTCTGGCTGCAATGACAAACCATCTCTGCAAACAATTTCTGAGGACACAACACAACATTTATTACCTTCACGCTTTTAAGGGCCATAGAATGAAGCTGATATCAAGACAATAACAAACTCAAACATCAATATAAACATTGATCTTTACAATTTTGACACAATCATAATTTGAAACAAAACACAAGTCCACTGAAAAATTATGTACAAAAGGACACAAACTATAGCTACAGTTCCCTTTTCCCCACAACTCGTAAACAATCTGGATGTGTGCAAAGGGACTGGACCTCGGTGGGAGTTTGCACGTTCTTCCCGTCCTTGGTATATTGATCACTTTAGTCAAACAAGTTTTGAACGATTAGGGTATATAAAATGCTAAACAAACTGCTACATGTTTTCCTTTGTCCCAACAGCAGCAGTTCTCTTATCCTTTGGTTCTATTTTCAGTGTATGTTGTTTTGTTTCTGACACTACACACCTGCAGATGTCATTTTTTCACTAATAATGTATTTTTTCATTCATGCAGTTCAATATGTTTGATCGGTGAGCATACAGAGGATATGTGTGAAGGATGTCTTAAATGCCATGGAGAAGTTTTGAATGTATCATGTATTTCATTGTTTTTAGGTTGAAGAAAATAAAACAACTACACTCTGAATTAAATGTAAAGTAGATCAGTCTATTCACATAGTTGTGTTATGCTGGAGCCCATCTTTTATCTTCTTCTTAGAAATAGACTGATAAAAGTGTGTGTTAAGTTTGGACAGAACTAAAATGCATGTATTGTTAAAGGTTTCAAAGAAACATTGGTCATTTTTTTCTGGCAGTGAAAGTGAAATCTGCAAATGCATTAACATATATATATATATATATATATATATATATATATATATATATATATATATATATATATATATATATATATATATATATATATATATATATATATATATATATATATATACACATCAGTAGCTTTTATAGGTTGAAACCTGATGGGCTCATAAGTTAATAAGTACAGTGGATACGTAAGATATCGATCTTAGTGATAAATAAAGAGGGCGAGTAAACAGTCACAGAACACTCACAAACTACTGATGAAAAGAACAGTAACAGGACTCAAGGTAACAGCAGGATAAATGTATGTTTTAAGTATTTGGTTGATTCAGAAAACTATAAAATATATGTTATTGTTTTGTGATTAGATGGCTCTGGTCTTCATTTTCATCTCATTACTACTGGGAATGTCAGATGCTCTTCCTCAAGGTAAATGTTTATCAAACCTTTACACAATCCAGTGGTTAAATTTTGTGTTTGATCATTTTATTTTCCAACATGTGACTGAAGATCTGTCTGGAAAGATGCTGGTTTTTCCACAAGAAACTAAGACGGATCATGTGACACTCATCACCTCCAGACAGAACCTGAGAGTGACCACTGTGTGCTTGAGGTCAGATCAGATGTCACACATGGTTATTAATGATTATACTGACGTTTTTATGTTGACCTTATTTAAAGGTCCTATATTATGCAAAATTTAATCTTGTGAGCTTTAAGCCATGTTAGAATGTTGTTACCTCCCCATAAACATACCTGGAGTTGTGTTTTGTTTCACACACATTCACACATGTTTGAGTAACTCTTTTTATTATTATTATTATTATTATTATTATTCGTCTGTCATTTCTCTGTTCCACCTTGTGACGTTTTCAAGTTCACAGCTACCTTTTAGATTGACAATTCCAGGGCTGAAATTATCCACTGAAGGTGTATGGCATTTAACAACACAGGGGAGAACTTCCTGTATTAACACTGGACATCACAGGGTGGAGCTGAGTGTTTTCTGTTTGAGGGTTTGTGTCTTAAACATGTGTGAATGAAACAAAACAGGTATGTTTGTGATGAGGAAACAACATTATAACATAGTGTAATATGGGCCCATATTTATGTCACTTTAGAGAGGGGGAATTATGCATAATGTAAATTTAACATCATGTCAATCAACACTTTTGTGTGTGCAGGTATTTCACAGACCTCTCCCGAGAATGCCCTCTTTTCACCGTGGCCACACACTCACAAGAAAATGATTTTATCATTTACAAAAATGCAAGAGATGAAATGGAGTTTTATGTCAGAGGTGATTACGCAGCCTTTAAGGGGCTGGATAATCAGCTGAACAAGTGGCACTCTGTCTGTGGCACATGGGACGCAGCCTCTGGTCTGGTGCAGCTGTGGGTCAATGGAAAACATTCAAGTATCAAATTTGTCACTAACTCCATCATCAATGAGCCCATGAGCATTGTGCTTGGACAGGTACAAACACAACAAATCCTACTTTTTTACTGCCATACTGATAGATGCACTGACAGAACCATGTTGTACTCACAGGAGCAGGATTCCTTTGGCGGGGGCTTCAGCAGTTCTCAGTCTTTTGTGGGCATGATCCGGGACGTGCACATGTGGGACAAAATACTCTCTCCATGTGAAATCAGATACTACAGTAACGAGCTCAGCTTTCCTCCTGGAAATATTCTCAGCTGGAATTCAATAGAGTTTCAGCTCACAGGAAGAGTCCTGATCAAGGATGTAGCAGATCAGTGTTAGGAGCCAACAGGAAACATGGTCAGTGAGATTTAGCTGATCATGTTTTTGGTAGAGGTAACATGCTACAGTGATACATTTAAATACGCTTACCATGTTTGAAAGGTTGTAAATGACAACTACTTTCAGAGAGTGCAGAATGTTGTAATGCTTCTGAATTCAAAGACTTATTTTCAAAAACAACTTAAAATACTAGATGTTTTGTATGCTTAAAATGAACAGTGTTTAGTTAATAAAGACATGTCTTTTGAAGCTTCTGATGATGCCTGTGCCACAGTTTGAAAACCACTGATAAAATATGATTAAAATTGTGTAACTGAGTCTTTATGTCTTTATTTTTACTTTTTTTTTTGTTAGTAAGTAAATAATGCAATTGCAATATGAATAAAAATGTGTCAAAAATGGATGGTGAATTTTACCAATGAAAATGTGACTGATAAAAAAGACAAATTTTGGCGTATCGTGGACGCAGCTGGCATTAGCCCTGTAAGTCCCATGTAAGTAAATTATTGTCCTGGTAGTTCTAATTCCAGTATTACCAGTTAATAATAAATACAGAGGGTACATAAAGTGAACCCATGAGCATTGTGCTTAGACAGGTCCAAACACCACAAATCCTACTTTTTTACTGCCATACTGATAGATGCACTGACAGAACCATGTTGTACTCACAGGAGCAGGATTCCTTTGGAGGGACCTTTGACAAGGCTCAGTCTTTTGTGGGCATGATTCTGCGACGTGCACATGTGGGACAAAGTACTCTCTCCATGTGAAATCAGTTACTACAATAACAAGCTTATCTGTTTTCCTGGAAATATTCTCAGCTGGAATTCAATAGAGTTTCAGCTCACAGGAAGAGTCCTGATCAAGGATGTAACAGTGTTAGGAGCCAACAGGAAACATGTTCAGTGAGGTTTAGCTGATCAAGTTTTAGGTAGAGGTAACATGCTACAGTGATACATTCAAAACACTAACACACCAACATGTTTGAAAGGTTGTAAATGACCACTATTTTCGGAGAGTGCAGAATGTTGTAATGCTTCTGAATTCAAAAACCTATTTTCAAAAACAACTTCAAAAATACTAGACATTTTGTTTAAAATGAACAAAGTGTTTAGCTAATAAAGACTAAGTCATACCGGCTTGTCAAACCCTGATCCCGGCAGATCTCAGAAGTTAAGCAAGACCAGGCCTGGGTAGTACTTGGACGGGAGACCACTGGGAACACCACGTGCCACAGGGGGGTGCCAGTGGAAAAAACTGTCATTGTGTCCTTAGGCAAGACACTTTACCCACATTGTCTAGTACACAGGTGTCAAACATAAGACCCGGGGGCCAGATCCAGCCCTCCAAGACCTTTAATGTGGCCCTTGGGTGATTTTCTACTAAAATATTTTAATTATATTTTCTATTAAAATATTGGTAATTTTCTGTGGTGTTTATAACAGCAGCGTCTCCAGTGTCTCTGTACGTGGCCCCTCCCACCAGAGCAGCACAAATGAAGACTTGTCTCTTTCCAAACGCTCTTAAAGGACGATCGTTTTGACTGTTGACTGTGACACCCTCATCAACAAAATGTCCAAAATGAGAAAAGTGGAGCCGAGTACAGGATTTTCCAAAAAAAAATTGACTTATTCCTATTTGCAAACAAGTTCATGTTAAAACATTGTGTTGAAATTGAATTTTTCTTAAAGTTTCAAGTTGTTCATAATATTATAATATTATAATAAGACAGAGTTCATCAATTAAAAAAGATTTCTGTAATAGATTTGCATTTCTCTGCACAAATATTTGAACTTATTTTTATTTTTGGGGTATATATGCCATGAGTTTTCTGATCCGACCCCTTTGGGATCAAAGTAGGTTGGACACGGCCCCCGGACCAAAATGAGTTTGACACCCCTGGTCTAGTATGAAAGTGGTGTCTGTGTGAGTGATGATGGTGGTAGGAGGGGCTGATGGCACAGATTGGCATTCACTCCAATGAATAATGAACTGTAAAGTGCTTTGGGTATTTTAAAAGGCACTATATAAATGCAATGATTAATTAATTAATTAAGACGTGTCTTTTGAAGCAACACGTGCTTCTGATGATGCCTATGCAACAGTTTGAAAATCACTGATAAAATTGGATTGGAATTGTGTAATTGAGTCTTTATTCTTTATTTTTACTTTTTTGTTAGTAAGAACAAGTACAATTACATTATGAGTAAAATGTGTCAAAAATGTGGATGGTGAATTTTACCAATGAAAATATGACTGATAAAAAAGACAAATTTGGGCGTATCGTGGACGCAGCTGGCATTAGCCCTGTAAGTCCCATGTAAGTAAATTATTGTCCTGGTAGTTCTAATTCCAGTATTACCAGTTAATAATAAATACAGAGGGTACATAAAGTGAATGGTCACAGATCCCCCAGATTGAAGTGAAGACTCAAGGTAAGAGCATGATTTTGGGTGTAAATAGTCGGCTACATCAGTGAACTTAAAACTGCATGTGTTGTGTTGTGATTAGATGGAGCTCCTCAGAAGTTTTTTCTTATTAATACTTGGAATGTCAGCTGCTGCTCGTCAAGGTAAACATACAAACAGACAAACTGAATTAGCATCATTCGCTTAAATACATTTGAAAGGCCTAGTGTGCTTATTTTTATTATATACATTCTGCATGTCTGAATAATCCTGTATTGTCTTACTATTGGGGCTTGAGTGCTCTGAAATGTGGCATGTGAGGCACATGTAGGAGGCACCATTATGACCACATGTGGGTTTGATTCAGGTTAAAGTTAAGTTGTGTGTACTTTGTGCGTATTTCTAAAGATTTCACAGGAAATATGCTGGTCTTCCCGGAAGAAACACCTGTAAGTCATTTCAGAAGCTTCGTTCCCAGCCAGAACCTGGGAGCAGTCACTGTGTGCCTGAGGTCAGAGGTCAGAGGGGACACTCAATCTGGGGGACACAGTAAACTCTTTATTAATGTTTTTTTTTTCTTTTGTGTCTGCAGGTATTTCACAGACCTCACCAGAGAGTTCAGCTTTTTCTCTTCGTCCACACGCACATTTAGTGATGAATTTCTCATTTACAAGATGTCAGCGAGAGATGAAATAAATGTGCGCATAAAAGATGTGGACACAATCTTTACGGGGCAGGATTTTCAGATAAACAGGTGGCAGTCACTCTGTACTACATGGGAAGCAGCCTCTGGTGTGGTGCAGCTGTGGATCGATGGAAAACCTTCAACTATAAAATCTGCCTCTAAGGCCAACATCATGGAGTCCATGATCATTGTGATTGGACAGGTATTGTAAACACTGTACACACAATAGCTTATGGTCATAACATAACAGAATATGGCATCAGGTGGAGCACGTTTCTCCACAGATCTGCCATGTTAATCTTGTGGATCAAAGTCCAGTTTCAACTGACACAAAATATGATATTGTGATTGAATGTTGGCCCTTCATTTTTAACAGTGTTGTCTCTAAAATGTAAAGATGTCACTGAACCAACCCATCCTTTCAATGAATGAAATGTGTTGTACCCACAGGACCAGGATACCAATGGGTCGGGCTTCGACCAGGCTCAGTCTTTTGTGGGCATGGTCAGTGACGTGAACATGTGGAACTATGTGCTCTCTCCACACCAGATAGACTGCTATAGTCGGAAGTGCAACTTTACAGTTGGAAATTTACTTAACTGGAAGTCCATGGACTTTCAGATCGTAGAAAGAGTTTTGATCCAGAAAGAACAAAATAATTGTGAATAATCAATACCATTTTGACATGTGTTCAATTTGGTTTGTAGGTGGAGTTGCAATGAACAGTGGCATCCATTTGAAATCTCATGTTTTCTTTTCAAAGTTCTTCTACAGGCATTTCAGTGATAATGTTTTGGCACTTTTCTATGAGTGTTCTGTATGAAATGAACCAGGTGTGGAAATAATTCATGTAGGCTACAGTTTGTGCGCTCCTCCAGCAGCACTATCTCATCTCAGCTTCAGCACTAAACACCAACCCAACAGCCAGAAATAGGCCAAGATCAACCGCAGCTCTCTGTAATGGGGGAGTAGTACAAAGGCTGGAGATTGTGTATGCAGATAATGTAGTTAGATACAGACAACACGAAGATCACTCCCATTAAATGCTCTTTTGCTATGGACGCAAAAATAGCTCATTACCATGAGCCTACAAATGAGAATTTGACTTTGTGGCTAAATCTGGCATATTTAAACACTCTTATATTTTTGATTGATTCATGTACATTCGAGCAATCCTGTATTGTCCTGCATTTGAGTAGTGACTGCTCATAAACCCCCGTCTCCACCCACTGCTCTGTACTTTTGTGTACATTTAGAACAATCATAATCATAGATGAAGATATAAAAAATGTCACAGCCATTTTCAACAATGAATAATAAATGAAAAAAACATCGCTTGCTACTGTGAAATGCCACTAATGTAGTACTAGTAGTGACTGTGGTAGTAGTTGTTTTTTTTTTTTCTCATTGATCTCAAAAAAGCAGCAGCAGTAGTAGTAGTGGTAGTAGCAGTAGTAGTAGTAGTAGTAGTAGTAGAAATAGAATAAGTAGTAGTAGTAATATTTGTGGTTCCTTTACAAATGCCCAATGAACCAACCTAATTTGGCTCATGAGGAGTAACAGTTTTTGTTGCAGCCGATCAGCCACCTGTTTCTCTCCCACAGAGGAAATACAATCCACCACATTCTGTTACTGTCGCTGTAAAAATGCAAGAATGGCACTAAAGCCAAACTAGTTTTCATAAAATAGACAAGCCTTTTTCCTCCTACGTCTGCTTCCTTATTCTGTATCCAAATTTTATATTCCCTCTCTGGATCTCGCCATCTTCAACTTCAAGATTTCAATTCTCCCGCTTGTTTAATATTGTTCAATGGGAAACTTTTGCCTCCGAACTCCAGTCCCCTCTGGATTTTACAAGCTCAGTGGAGGAGCAGTGTGCCGACCTAAAATACTTTACAATACAACGGCCCAGATGGGATCATTCACAAAATCGCACTTCTTGCATTTCCGCTGTCACCCAGACTGGCTGTAAACTGCTCTATTTTTTAGCCCTAACCAGTCGAGACAAGTGGGATTTTGCAGGACTCTTGGAAGAAATTGCCACACTTGCTCAAATGGTGACACTGGTGATGCTTGTGGGCTGCACTTGTGAAACCTCGGGGGACTCCAACAATAAATTAGCCTGAGCTGAAGCTGTAGCAGCACTCACGCTTTAACGCCTATCTTTTGACATTCCCACTGAATCAATTAAGCATTATGTGCAGTGTGTGAACCCAGAAGGAGAAGTCCCTGGCGGAAAAGGCTGCTCGGCTCCTGATGTAATGGAAGGCAACGTTTCTCTTTGTACAGAGAGCCACAGATTGAGTATTGGAGCATATTGCAAAAGGTTTGATCCACTGGACAATAAGGGACAGTGTCACCTGGGACGCCATTCGGTCTCTTTTCAAGTACAAGGACCTCAGAGAAGCTAAAGGAAAAGGATAAAGAAAAACTGCACACTAAGGTGAGAAGTGGAATGATGATGTTGAAATATGATGTTTTATGGAAAACACATTGGAGACCTTTCAGTATGTAGAGAGTTACTCAAAACTGTGCATGTGGTGCTCAAGTATGTTTGTAGTTTTGTTTGTGTTGCAGAATAGAATAGAATAGAATAGAATAGAAAGCCTTTATTGTCATTATACAGTATAATGAAATTCAGAGCTGCTCCGTCAAAGTGCAAGAATTGAACAAAAAATAAATAAAACAAATGAACAGTTCTCATTCAGTATGGTGACAGCTTTGGGGAAGAAGCTGTCCCTGAGTCTATTGGTCCTACCTGGAATTGACCTGAAGCGCCTGTATGTGATGTGTGTCACAGACCAGACACATGCCTGGTGTTTAAGTGTTAGGCAAAGAAAAATATGTTTTATTATCTATTTTACCTGTAGACATCAAAGTGTCCACTAGGCATGTGACATGTTAGATTTTATTTGATTAAAGTCAAATATTTTATTTCATTGAAGACAAGTTTTAGCTTTTTTTTTTTTTTTTTTCAATTTACCCCTAATGGTAAGACACGCTCATCAAGCCTAAATGTAACCTTGATACAAACAACCACATTTTTATTTTTATATTATTTTCATCTTTTTTTTTTTTTTTTTTTTTGGTGGAAGAAGTAAACAAGTTATAAGACATAGGTAACAGAAAACAAGATCAAGCCAATTTACCAGTGAAAACACTGCAGACTGATCTGCCTAAAGGCCTTCTGGTATATTGATCCTTTCCTATTGTGGTTGGCCATTTCAGATATTCTATTATTGCCTGTGACATAAACGTTACAGAAATTGAATACATTTCTAAAAGACAATTATTTGCTGAAAATATCAGTCTTTGGTAAATTTTACACAATAAATTGATATAAATTCTTCTAAAGCTGTAATGAATGATAAAACAATAGTAAAGTGTTTCTGGTGAGAGGCCCACCACATGCATCTGTCCAAATTCATTTAATGGCAATTTTTAAATTTTAAATTTAGCCATTTACAGCTTTTATTCAATTATAGATGAGCGTGGTTGCCTCTTCATAGATCTGACCTGTTATTTGGCCTTGGTGACATCACTTGACTCCATGTACGTAGACAAGTTTAATGCCATACTGTGGAATATTCCAGGCAAAACACTGAAATCTCCATGGACCCTTCTCTTGCATTCACATTTACATTTGACACTGTTATCTAAATGAAATGATTATAAAGTACTGGAGAAAAAAATCAAGCCACAAGTTCCACATCCAAATGACTTTTCACATACGACACAAATGACGCTGTATCTTTCACATGTTGATGACTGGAAGATGAAATCGATGTTGTCCAGGAGATGCATCCTCTAGTTTGTTTATTCACAGATATGAGGTCGGCTTCACCACTTGACACACATAATCTTGTTACGTTCTCATGGAAATCAAGACGTGTGAAATTAAACATGAGTGCGAGTGTTGAATATACATGAGCTATTTTTACGCCTTTTCGCCACATTGCAACATCTTAATTCTCTCCCATGGCAGAATCTCTGCTAATTTCATTTTCATTCCCAACACACCCCCAGCAGCAGCAGACCCAAAATAATACAATACAATGGATTGCTGATTGCGTTCAAAGATAATGTAGTTAGACGATAAGAAGATGCCTCCAGGCTGCAAAAAGTCCTGTACTACTTCGGCACTTTTTAATCATTCACGGCCTGTGGTTTTCTTGTGTAACGTGTGTGTGCTGTTCTGCACCTGTCCACACGAGGTCACTGCACAGCTTGTCACGATACAAAGTAAATACAACCTTGAAAGGTCAATTCTTTCACCCTTTTCTGCTTTCTTCTTCTGATGCAGGTGAGACATCAAAGGTGAAATGGCCCCCAATAGCCCCAGTAAGTTAAGATAATATTATATCTAATAATAATATTCATAAGATAATATTACCAATTCATATTTTTGAGGTGGAAAATGTTTAAACTAGTCCTGTGTGAACGTCAGAATACTGGTGTAAAGTCAATACAAAGTAAGAACCATAAAGTGTTAAAAATTGTTGAAAGCACTTTGTGAATCAGCATTTCAGATTCATGCAGCTAAAATCTGGAACAGTCTTCTTGGAGATGAGACTCTGCTCTGACAATGTTTAAATCCAGGCTCAAAAAGCTTCTCTTTAGCTGTGCATGTTTTATTCTGCACACTTCTCTCTTCTCTTTTGAAGTAAATTTCATGATGATTATTTATGTTGTGATTTGTTGGTATTGTGATTTTAATGTCCTTATTCTGTAAAGCACTTTGAACTTCTCAGTGTATGAACTGTGCTATAAATGAATCATAATATATTCAAGGCTTGTGTTATGTCACAGCAGTGAAGACATGCCAAAGCTTTCTGATGTAAAACTACAGCATGATGTTATAGATATGAACCTTTTTCACATGAAAACATAATTATACATTTAAATTGTATATAATTATATGTCATTGTAATGGCATGGAAATTCACTACGAATATTTGAGGCTGAAGCGTCACAACAGCAGAACAAGCTGAAAAATCTAACTTTTGTTACAGCCAGTTGAGAGAAAAGCACAGACATACAGCGGGAGTATTTCAAGATGGATTCTTGTGAGTTTATGAATTCATAAATATCATGGGGTTCCATCTTGGTGCACGAGGTTACACAAAAACAACTTTGTACTGTAGATAAAGAGCTCTTTACAATAAGATTCTTCCACTGACTGACAATAGCTGGTCTACACTGCTTATCAAAAAAAAAGAGTTAATTCTACCAAAAGCTTTGACCCTAAACAACACAGACACAGGGGCACAATTAAATATTGGCAAAATATTTGTTTTAATTTTAGAAAACTAATCAATTTAACAAATTTTTATGTACACAATGTTTGACAAAAGAAAGCCACATAGTGATTTAGAAATGTAGAGCACACAGGCCTACAGCCAAAAGCTTCTGAATCACTAACTACTAATGGGTTCACTTTTGGGAACACCTTTACTGACTGGCAGGTTTACAACAAATAAGAATTGGAAAAATAACTTTTAAAAGCAGTGGTCTTGTCAAATGTGTCAAATTATGACAAGAGTATAAATAATTTAGCTCACTGTACAATACCTATATAATAAAAACAAAAAACATCTCTTCTCAAACAGAGAACAGCTCAAAAGTTGGTCGCCTTTTGCTTTTCTAGATGTCCTGTAGGAGGCGCTCTCTCCCAGCCCTGCCGGATGCGTGTGAGGGTGCGGTTCACACAGGGCAGGAGCAGGATGGCCTTCAGCACCAGCACCACAGACGGGGTGATCAAACACAGCATGTACCCGGGCGGGGTGTACCACTTATATGTGGAGCGCGACAGGAGCTTTTTCCAGCCGTAGATGTAGCAGTGCGCAGTGCAGATGAACAGAGTCAGGTAGCCCAGCTTGGACTGAGGGAAACAAAGGGAATGTTACTTCAATCAGGTGCCCTCATGTCCTGGAAAAACTGGAAAGTAATTGCCCTGCTCTGTTTCCATGCATGCAAAAGAGAAATAGTACAGTCAAGTATCCTGGAAAATATTAATTTATTTTGTCCTTGAAATAGTCTCCGCCCTTTGCTTTGATGGATTAATGAATGTCAGATTAGTAGAGATTGCCACTGCAATAAAATACTAAAATAGTATCAAGTTTTTGAAAAAAAAAAAAAAAAACCTCCTCTAACGCCCATCAAAACACAGGAAAATGTTTACAAAAATTCTTGGTGGAGGTCCCCTAAACCCCCTTTGCGCTTTACCTGCTAGACATGACCTACTTACATATTCATTTTCAATATGTTTGGATTATACATGTTGCAAGTTATACCAGAAAATAGAAAATATTTTTGGTAACATGCATTTGTAAATGGACTATGCAATCATACCATAACACAGAGAATATTATTTGCCTTAGTGTGGAATTAATTTGCAATTTGTGGACAGGTATTGCAAGACTTCATCTTTATTCGAAAATATGTTACAAAAAGTGTCATGTGTTTGCAGACTGTGTGATTAAATAATTCAAAAAGGAAAAGTTCTGGAAAAGTATTTCAATGATATTGTATTTGCACTATATGTATTTAACCAGGACCTTATGGCTTAAGCAGACTAGGGTCCCACAATATTAGTCAAAACATTGTGTAATATGGGTACTCTAAGGTTAAGAACTCACTAATAAATATTGGCAGATATTATGGCCTGTCTACGTTTTGGCTTTTGGAGTTTGTGGCCTGTTTGTATCATTTAGAGATCGAGAGAAACGGCACTGTAATGTCAGCCTTGGAGCCTGTCATTGTGTTAATTACGTTGATAATGTTATTTCAATTACAATTTACAATTATAGCTGACTGTAATTGCACCATAAAGCAACATTTAAATCATTATTGTGCAGTGAGGTCATAGTTTGAGAATATAGTCTTCTCTGGCAGTAACACTTGAAATAATGGGCAGAATTTACAGTCTAGGGAAACGTAAACCTTTGCCAATTTTTTACTTCACAGCTACATTTTTTAAATGAGCTTGAATAGTGCAAGGACTTTAACTTTACTTATTCATTTAAAGGCACAGAAAATATTATTGATATAAACAACAATATCATTTATATCACAACACAGGACAAATCCAGTATTGGAGTCAAATATTGTTACTATTAAATCATTACTAATGGCCCACTACAGCTATAAAATTACAATTTAAAAAGTACATTCCCTTTAAAAATATATATTTACTGCTGATATATGCAATTATATTTGGATAAACCGGGAGAAAATGGATTAATTGATGGATGGATTCCAAGTACTTAAATCATTTTAGGCCCTGATATAATAAATATATATATAATAAATGACTCCTGAATCCTTATCGCAGCATGTTGTAACTTGAGATCATAAGATAAGCTCGACTTAGGCTTGCTTTTTCCATCTGAAGTTTGCCCTTTACACAATGTGGCCCGTGACCCGTATTAACAATTTTCTGCCTGGGGATTATAACCTGGCACCATAATTCTATTTAATGAATAACTTAACATTTAAAGTCCAGCTCGCTCTCCACTCCTAGATCCTGAGTTAGCCAGCTAGTTAACTACGCTCACGGGAGATAGTGCCATTGACATATTACCTCAACATCTCAGTGCTAAAACATTGGAAAGACTAAATAAAGATTTTCTCAAAGGCACCAAAAGTGTGTGAGCTGATAGTGACGGACAGCAGTGGTATGGAAACAGACATAGAAGTTGGGCCGTACACTAACGTCTTGAACTCTAGACGTCTTCAGGAAAAAAAGTTGGGATTTTTTGTTTTTTGTCCTGGTTCAGTTCTGGAAGCTTTTAGGCCTAGATAAGTTCTAGTTTAGACCTGGTCCAGCTTTTCCAAAAACATGTACCATAGGCCTTTAGTACCATAGATCTTTGTTTTGCAAGTCTCGTGTAAGTCTCAAGTCTTTGACCTCAAGTCCGAGTCAAGTCCCAAGTTAAATACAGGCAAGTCCAAGTCAAGTCTTGAGTCACTGGCCCATAAGTCCAAGTCAAGTCCAAGTCGTCTGCTTTAAGCTTCAAGTCATTTCAAGTCTTTAAACCAAAGTACCAAATATACCTTAGATTATTGCAATTTATATGACTTTTAAACTAAATTGTACTTAAAAAAAACTCATGGAATATTTGTATGTGAGTATTTATATAAGAGTTGTAGAAATGAAAATTTTTCCTTTTTAAAATTCTTCACAAGATCTTGGTGTGAATCATTACGGCCAGAATAGAAAGAATTAAGATTTAAAAGTGCTTAATAACAGTTATTTTGTCATGTAGTCTGTACTGAAATGGAAGGATCATGTTCTTTGTAGTTCCCTGTTTTACTGTATTGTACTGCATATACTGCATTGTACTGTATCTTACTGTAGTGCATTTGAGTATCACAGTACTTCAGTTACATCCAGTAACAAGTAACAAACAATCAAGTAACAAACAGAAGTGGGAGGGACATGTTCCAGTTTGTTCCTGTAAAATTAAGCACTGCATGTATCAACTGTAAAGAGAAAAGTGCTTTCAAAAAAGTAAAAAATATTTATTTCAAGTCTTCTCAAGTCAGAGGGCTCAAGTCCAAGTCAAGTCCCAAGTCACTGACCTTCAAGTCCAACTTGAGTCCCAAGTCTTAGTCCATGTTATCAAGTCAAGTCTCAAGTCCTAAAAATAGTGAAAATAGTGTGTGGCTCTGGTTTATTCTAATTTAGACCTGGCTGGTTTAGACTTTGAATATTAGAATTATTATAATAAAATATCTTTGTATTTACAGCTGAGCCTGTGTCACGGGCTCCTTTAGGTTCAAAACTACAGCTGCTTAGCCAGATTATACTTTCTAATCAACAGCTTTGGAATTTATGGCCAAACCAAAATACCTTTAAAAACTACTTACAGCTAAAATATACATTTAACATTAAGAAAAATCCTTGAGTTGACAAAGTTATATTATATTGAGGTTAAAAACAATTAAAAATCTCTCTTCCTATTGCTGGGTTTCAGAACATCATAACTGCAGATTTTTGTTGTAATACAGTATGCTCTTGGGTCTAGTCAATAATAGAAATGATCAGGTTCCATATTCCATAATTCATCTTTCCAGTATTTCATGACAAAGTACAGTGTAAGCAATAGGTAAATAGATATCATCGCAGTCTACAATCCAAAAACCACCTACATAGTTCATATCACCAAGCCCTAATTTATTTCCATACACAAGCACAATCAGATGTTTTGTTCCTTGACAATGCCCATAAAACATTTCTGATTGTGAGCAGTGTAGTGACTAAGATCCTGTCATAAAGTTGTACAGATGTCTGAGCAGTCCTGACCTGGATGAAGTTGAACTCCCTCCAGCTCAGAGAGGCTCCGACTGAAGGCAGAGAGGTGATGCCCAAAAGCACGAACAGGAAGAAGCCCAGGATCCCCAGGCCCATCAGGGAGTCTACGGCCCACGCCACTCTGGTGTCGAAGTAAAACGGAGTCGTCTTGTTATTCTTCAACTGGGAAAAAAAAAAAAAAAAGAACAGCAGGAGCATGAGAGAGGGAGATGGACAACCAGAAATTTAGACTCGTCTTCTATAATTCTGCTAAATTATGTAGCATTTTGTCAGAAAAGGGTCATGTGTGAATGAACTGATTTTGAGCGGGCAGGACTTATGCTTAAATAACTGGGATTAAACAAGGAAGTCTTATGTGTGAGGCCAGCAACTTGCAAGAGGGTTTCATAGTAATACTGGGGCAAATAGGATTTAGTCCAAATATTGTCACATACATTCAGTGGATATTTTCAAGTGTGTGAGGTGTGATAGTTGTTTAATGCCTGAAGTATGATGATAAAAGTGAAGGAAAAGAGAAGCTGAGGTGGTTGATGGTTCACCTGCTGGGGATACAGAAGAGAGTTGTGCTTGTGGAACAGGATCAAAGTTAGATCATTGAAATAAATAAATACAAAAAACAAACAAATAAATAAATAAATACAATAACATTTTTAAAAAGTCCTTTGTAACAATCACTTGACCATATTATTTTTCCGCGCTCATAGATATAGGTTTAGGCTCTTTCTTTGATACTGATAACAAAATTGCATTCAGGACAGTGTATGGGAGTGTATTTACCGTATTTTTCGCACTATAGGGTGCACTTAAAAGCCTTTAATTTCATCAAAAAAATGACTGCGCGCCTTATAATCCAGAGCGCCTTATATGTGAATGTATTGGGGTGTCTTAGTACAACTTTAGTAAACTACAGAGCTGCACCACTTGCAGCATTATGGCTACCATAGTCAGGAGAATCGCGAAGTAATACATACTGTGATTCCTTTTAATATCAAAATGCACCTGTCAAGAGACACGCTTACAACACGGACTTTAAACTCAAGGCTGTTATAAAGTTAAACTGCGAGCTGCGAGGGAGAAAGTAAACACACTTTCACCAAGACAGGGAGACAGCGCCGAGCCACTTACGCCACAATCTGCCAATAGATCGTGGATGCCTGGGCTAAGGATCAGTATCAACTGTGGTCCGAGCTTTCACCAACACCGGAATCATCACTGAACTGCCAGGTAATAGTAATGACACTGACTCGGATAATGACGAGAGGGATGCGGGCGTGCTGGACGCCGTAATCGCCCAACGGTTTGAACAATTATGAGTTACTGTGAATACTCTAACAATTTAACGGTCTCAGACAGTATTTTTTTTATGCGTTACAACTGAACAAAGTTGAGTTATTGTGAACGCATTAAATAAAGTTTGACTGACTTTTCTAACTGTTGTGCTTTGTTTAATGCACCTTATAGTCTGGTGCAGTTTATATGTGAAAAAAGTTTGAAAATAGACCATTCAATGACAGTGCGCCTGATAATCCAGAGCACTGTATAGTGCGTAAAATACGGTAAATGTCTTCTAAATGGCACTATGCAGTTGGAGAAGCTTCATAAGTTTGTGATGAGTGTGAGCCAAACCTCATTGACCACTTGGGTGATGAACCTGTGTCTGGCAGAGTAGCGGATGGGGAGGACAAATATGTAGAGGACATGCATCAGGGCGCAACCAAGAGCCAATACACCAATCTGCTTCCTGCACAGCATCCAGCGGTCCAGCCAGTTCGGGAAGCGCCTGCAAATGAATAATTTAAGACCAAAGTTACTACCACAGTCTTGTACGGTGTTCAAATCAAGCCTTGTGTATAATGGCCACTCTTTACGTGAGTGGGCTGACCAAGAAGGCTCATGCACTGATCAGAAATGAAAATTCTGCTCAACATGTCAGACATTTGAATCACTTAGACCGTGGGGCCCAGGTCAACACAGCTTTTTAACCCCTTTTCAACTGCCCGGGCTACCTAAACTAAACTACAGGAGATTAGAACAGATGCAGATGTTTGTCTGACCTGTACTTGGTCCCTCTGTAGATCTGGATGAAGGCAGCAATAACCCCAGGCAGATAACACAGGGACAGCATGATCAGTGACACAGTGGGGAGGACCTGAAAGATGCCCAATAGGAATCCTGCTTTAATTCATTCACTGTCCTAAATACCCTTGTTCTTGTCTCTTACTAGGGACACTTAAGAATTTGTAGAAATGAATTTTGTGGGTGTCAGTTTGATAGTATTTGACAAGTAACCAAAAGGCTGGAGTTTTAAAGTCCCCAAGTTCAGTCTGATACTGTGTCTTTAAGCAAAACTGTAAATATGTATATTGAAGAAGCCGAGGCCACATAAGTTTGTTCCAGGAGAGCTGGTAAAGTTAAATGATATAGTTAATCAAAACTGATATTTGCAATGTGAATGTTCAGAAACAAATTCACTACAGTTGTAATGAAAATAGTAACAAGTACTTCAACCAAACGCAAATGTACATGATGCTCTTGTATCTTTGACTGTTTTCTGTGATTTTACTACTTTTTCTGTACTTTGATTACATCCAGGCTTATCACCACTCTTGTGCATTACCTTATTCGGCAGGGCAACCATAATCTTGAATGAGATGTCTTTTTTGTCCTCCACATAGGAGTAGACGACGTCTCTGATGAGCAGGTAGATGAAGAAGGCAGCGCCGAGGCCAGCAGCGATGCTCAGAGGCAGCCTCCACTCTGGGAAGAGCTGCAGCGGGAAGTCCTCCAGCTCCCGGGACGCACCCACACTGCCCCTGTCCACCACCCAAAGGCCCAGACGGGTGCACACCTCCGATACAGCCTGTTTAGCCTCGGCACTGTCCCCGCATATGAACGTCTGCAAGGGCACAGGGTTCGGGATTAAGATTAGACTAGATTAGATTTATTATGCTATAAACATACAGTATACAGATAAAAACACCAAACAAAAACAAATTTAACCCACAGGACTTGAGTCACTGCAGATAGGGCGTCGTTTGAGTCATAGATTTATAAGCAAATGTGTTTCTTAGAAGGATAGCCGTCTGTATTATCTCATTCTTGGAATTTTATATTAGACTAATAGAGATGTTAAAAAGGCTAAATGCTAATTCAGCCTTCATTCAAACAGATTTTAAATGTGAGTAATAAATCACACCACAGCTTTTTTGTTTACTTTTTATGTATATATTTTTTGTCAAAGCATTTTCATGGACGTTTGACACCTTTGACCAATAAAGTTTGATATTCCAAGCTTAATTTTCATCTCTTTGTTGTTGTTATGAATTGGTAATATTTTTAAGAACATTTTATTATTCCACTTGCAATAAATTGTGACTTGTTATTTCAGCCAGTATCAAACCTGGGTTCAAAATTGCTTTAGGAAAAAATAAAATCCAAATTCTCCCTCCAATTTTCAACAGTAATCTTTCTTTTTGGCTGAATGTAAATATCCAAATTTATATTGAAGATTTTTCTGGACAATTCTACCCACCCCAATATGTAATCGCATTTTTAGATCCAAATGTGCGGACTAACCCTTTTTAACACAAAACAATTGAGTAAAGAAGCAAAAAATTAACAGACAGATGAGGAGAGACTGAGGAGAGATGAGACAAAGAGAAAGAGTGGAATGAGAGAGAGAGATGGGAGAGAGAGAGAGGAGACATAGTGCGAGTGCGGAGAGAAAGAGAGGATAGGAAAGGTAAAATGAGAAAGAGAAAGAGATAAGATAAAGAGAGAGAGCGGAATAAGAGAGAGAGGACAGACAAAGAGAGACAAGTGAGACAAAGCGAAAAAGATGAGACAAAGAGAGAGAGAGAGAGAGGAGAAAGAGAGAGAGATGAGACAAAGAGAAAGAAACAGAAAGATGAGAGGAGATAAAATGAGAGGAGAGAGGAGAGTGGAATAAGAGAGAGAGGTGAGGGAAAGAGAGAGAGAGCAAAGATAGGTACACAGTGACATAGTGCAGAGGAATGGAGCACTTTCCCTCAGGTGTGGACATAGAAAGAGGTGAGACGAAGAGAGAGAGCGGAATAAGAGAGAGAGAAGTGAGACAGAGAGAGAGAAAGAAAGAGAGTGAGAGATAGACACACAGTGTAGAGGAATGGAGCACTTTCCCTCAGGTGTGGACATAGAAAGAGATGAGACAAAGAGAGAGAGCGGAATAAAAGAGACAAGTGAGACAAAGAGAAAAAAGATGAGACAAAGAAAGAGATGAGGAAAAGAAACGGAGAGAGAGAGAGAGACAGAGAGAGAGAGAGAGGTACACAGTGACATAATGCAGAGGAATGGAGCACTTTCCCTCAGGTGTGGACATAGAAAGAGGTGAGACAAAGAGAGAGAGCGGAATAAGAGAGACAAGTGAGACAAAGAAAAAGAGAGAGAGAGACAAAGAGAGAGAGAGAGCGAGTAGGCAGACAGTGTAGAGGAATGGAGCACTTTCCCTCAGGTGTGGACATAAGTGGAGCAGGCAGGCTCCATGTCTCCTCACATTACTGCACCACAGACACACTAAATCTCTATCACAATGTAAATGACCAAGACCTGGGCCCGATGTCACTGGAACCAAATCACTGTCCAGGGAAAACAAGACTTGTACAAACACCTGACTGTATACATCAACTCTCAGGCTGCGGCCCATTGCTCTGTGGTCACTGTTATCAAATTAAAATATTCAACCAAATTACAGTAAAAAAAAAACAAAACAAAAGAAAACAAAAGAAAAAAGTGCATTAAACAACATTTCCAGTAATGCTTATTTCCAAGAAGATGTTATTGCTTTGCCTGGAATGTTCAACTGAGATCTATCTTCGTAAACAGATTACGTCATTATACACCAAGTTACAGGTCAGATCTGTGGAGATGTGAGATCACTTACAGAGAGAATGCATTTTTTCAAGGTATTTTTGATTTTATAAGTTGTTGTTTTTTTTGGTGTTTTTTTTTTATTGCTCATGGTATTGTTTTGTTGGCATCAATTTAAAGAGAATGACAACAACAACAAATCTGAGAATGAACATAAATACATATTTCTATGATTATTTGCCTTGTCTTTGCTGCACGAACAAAATAAGTGAGACAAAGAGAAAGAACCTGTGTTACTGAATAAATGCAAATGAAGTGCACTTAATGCTATACTGTGTAACATCCCAGGCAAAATAAGAACATCTCCATGGAGACAATGTAAATGTAAACTATTAATTCAACCTTTTGATTCATTTGAGTTTAGAGTATTATCTACAATGATTTCAATCCTTATTTGGCAAATACAGATACTTGGTACACAGCAAAAACTGGAGGATTAAAATTTTAGGGTAAAATATTTCAGAGTTGTTTTTAACACCCAAAGTGTTATTTTAACTATTTGAAAGTTAAATGGGGTTTGAGTTGGGGTTATTTGTTGATATGAGTTAATATGGTTGAGGTTAATTCAACTTCTCTTAGTGCTAATTTGGCGCTTCCCATTCACCACTTCAAACTCTTGCGAGAGAAGACCAGTTTGAACCAGTTTTGTTCATAATTTCATCTTAAATGAACTAAAATAAAGTATAAATAAAATAAAACATCTCTGTGTGTTGTTTAGCTAAATCAGGAACTGTACAAAGTGTTATCTGTTTACTCTCAAAACGTTAAAATAACTCTGGATTTTGGGGTTAAACCGGAACTTTGGTCCAGTGTTACTTATTTAACATTTCCAAAAATGTTAAATTATCTCTAGAACAGATGGGACTCATATAAACCCTGAGAAAATGTTAAAGTTGATTCTGTGAGTCAATTTTAACACTCCACTTTTTGCTGTGTTGGTTGATCTCTCCATAAAAACTAAAAAAATATTTTAGTAAATGCCTAAACACAAAATGTAACACAAATATATCATGTGGCCTACTAATATAAAAATGCAACATAAATACTTAACTCTATTTAGTAATTCAGCAAAAACATTGGGATGATCAGCGCAACATGTTTTTCTTGGTGCATATAAACATACTAATAGACATATTCAAATACTTGTGGATCTACCAGAGAAAAGAGAGCAGTGTCGTTATGTGAGTGTGTGTGTTTGTGTGTGTTGTGTGTGTGTGTGTGCAGTAGGGCTGGAGGCAGATCCAGGTTTGGTCTCCTGAGGTTTTGCGCGTGTTTGGAGTTGGAGTTTCTCTTTGTAGCTGTGAAAGGGAAGCCGCGGAGCTCACTGGTCTGTCTGACTTTGAAACCAGAGTGAGTTTGTTTATTTGCTTAGATGAGCGCTGCCTGCCTCCTCTTCATTGCAACAGTTATAGAAAGATGAAGATCAATAAGAAGCCGCTGAGCTATAAATTCCTAAATGATGCAAGTATTGTGAGGAAATGGGGCTATTATTAGAAAAGGTGTTGTTCCTCGTTACAATACACAGACATGCTCCATATCCCTGCAGCTAATAATAACACGACCAAAACAGGTTCAGGAACTCAGCCCGTATCTTTAACTGACAAATATGCTTCCAAATGCCAAGTATTTACCACTCTGCCGGCTGTAGCTTTTTGACAACCAATGCAAAAGCAGCTCAGCAATGAAGTGTATCCGCTCAAAGCTAAAAACAAGCTTGGTTCAATTGTACCAAAGTCATAGCCCTGAAACTCTAACCTGATTCATCAGACGGTTTCACTTCGTAGAAACTGTCTGACCTCGCAGCGTTAGGATTCGTTCACTCGACGGTAGGCCGGTACTTTTTTTTATTTAACCAATCGCTGCTATTTGGTTGTGACTTTTGTAATGCGCCGCTAACGGGGCTAACTGGTACATTAAGCTTTTCCCAAATCCTGTAGGAAGAAGGACAATAACATCTTTCCCCTTGATAAAATTTACCAAACATTCTCTTTGTTCCGGCTTTAAATCCTCGATCTCGGGAATTGTTGCCAACACAGAATGTATGGCTCGTCGCTGATTGGCTGGTGCTTGGACTCGCACGGGGTTTTTGCTGTCTAGTGTATTCTGATTCTTGACCTAGTTGCTGGAGACAAATTAAATTGAGCGGAGGCACTAAGGTGGCATCAGCCTGGCTACCAAAACTCACCCAGCAAGAACCAAAGAATGCTACATAAATTTGTGGAAAAAAACAAACAAAAAGTATACAAAATCATTAACAGTAGCTTCTCCGGCTGTAAAGTTGTTTTGTTATAACAGTCATATACATCTGATTACCAATTTTTCCAACACTTACTGCAAAATTTGTCATATTTTCACATAGTAATTGATTTAAAATGACAAGGAATCAGATTAACAGCAATAGTGCCTTTGGATATCTGAAAACACTAAATATATCTCCAGTAGGAGTGTGCAAAAATATCAAAATATCATATCGTTTAATGTGATGATACAGCAACGATATCGTGGGCTGCTGCACTGATATATCACCAAGAGTATTTTTTGGTACATTTTACTAAATTATTTTGTTACAGCACTACAGTTTTGTTGCTTGTTTAGAGAAAGGAAACTCGTTTATGCGACACATTTGACATTTTCACTGTTTTGATGAGTAAAATGTTTGTGTTTCATACAAACTTTGCACAAGAAGTGATTTAACAAAGACTTTTAGTGTCACATATATGATTTTGCCTTTATCTTTTTTATTGAACCGTATCAAATCGATTTAAAATATATCGCATTGAATCGAAAGTGCACTGTATTGAAAGATGTATCATATCATGGCCTATGTATCGAGGTATGTATCATATCGGCAACTTTTTAATGATACCCTGCCCTAATCTCCAGCGTGTTTTGACACAAGGACGTCATTACACAAGCTCATTGAATTTTTCATAATGGGCTCTGTTTAATTTAAGCTATGGATCATGTGTCTGCACTTGTGTCCTTAATAAATCAAGTTAAATGAAATAATTATACTGCTGTTCTGGATTTATGCTATGTTCTGATGTATGTTATTATTATAATGTTGTTTCCTCATCAAACCTAGAGCTGTGTTTTATTTCATTCACACAGACCTAGAATATTTAGGCTGAGTTCTTCTCTCAATTAGAAAACACTTGTGTGATGTTTTGGGGTAATACAGGAAGTGCTCCACTGTGTTTTTAAACTCCATACACCTTCACTAGAATCATTTGGATCATTCCTGCCCTAGAATTGCCAATTACTATGGAAAAGTACAAACTACACTTCATTACAAGTCAGATCTGTGGAAAGTCATCCCTATTTGCAGAAAGATTTTTTGTATTTTTGAGCAATAGAAACACCCGTCATGAATAAATGCTAGATGAATGTGTTTTGTTTTGTTCTTTGTTTCATTTGCAACATAAAACATGCATGCAGACATTGGACAGGACAACACAATAAGTACAATTTGGAACAATATAATACAAATACATACATTACCACAGCAGACAAGGTGTAAAGTGTGTGTGTGTGTGTGTGTGTGTGTAAGTGTGTGAGGGTTCAGCATCAATAAATACAAATGACTAATTGTGTATAGTTATGTAGAGATTCTTAGAGGGACAGTTCTGAATTTTGGACAAAGGGCCTCATTTCCTAGTGAGCCAGAGTGTTGGAGACGTGTGGAGACACTTTTTTAAATATTCCATCCAGTCCTTGTATTTGCAGAGGTCTCTGGTGCTAGGCTAGTGCATGTCAATGGCCATAGATTGCCTGCTATTAAAAACAGTCTCACCCACTCCACAAAACACCCGAAGCAAAACTATTATTATGCCAGACTGTCGATGTAAATGTCAGTGTTGATAGAATAATGTTTGAAATAAAACTAACCTTGCATCACATTAATCATCCCATGTTGAGGAACTATTTTCTTATATATCAGTCCGCCGCTGCCAAGCTTTCTATCAGGAAGTACAATTCGCTGCTGCTCAGACATAAATCCTTCAAATGCAAGGTTGGTTTTACTTACTACCAGCGACTCTGCAAATACAAGGACTGGATGGAATAGTTAAAAAAGTGTCTCCACACGTCTCCAACACTCTGGCTCACTAGGAAATGAGGTCCTATGTCCACAATTCCGAACTGTCCTTTTAACAGTGTATCGGAGGGACAAGCTCAATGTTGAGAATAATAACTGTGCAAGTGGGAAGAGGAAGAGGTGGGGGAACCTAGTTAATGAGTTTTTGGATTGGTGTTTAAGGCTCCCATTTCCTCATGTGCCAAAAAAAATCTTACTTTAAATGACAGTGTAAGAAAAATTTTGTTTGTTTGTTTGTTAGTTTTTTTCTAATATACAGTCGTGCATGTATGCCTAGTAGGGGTGTAACGATATCCAAGTCTCACGATACGATATTGTCACCATATGAAGCTCATGGTGCGATATTTATTGCGATATTTTGTGGAGGCTAACTGTTAATATGCTACTTTTTCCTCTTAAAATACTTCGACAAGATCCAAGAACGAAGACTTAAAAGTGCTTAAAACTGTTATTTCTTCTTGTAGTGTGAGCAAAAATTGCAAAGCAGACTTGTAATTCGATTAGGGATGGGCAAAAATGTAAAAAAATAAAATAAAAAATCACATTAATTGTATGAGTTCCTGTGATTAACCATGATTAATTACATGTTATATGCAAAATCAATAAATTTATTAAAAAGTAGCATATAGCGCACTTTTACTGGGAATGTAAACAAAAGTGCCATATATTTGTTGTGCAAACAGCATTTCTTTATACAGTAGCAGTGCACTAGTTTGTAAAGACCATGTTTATACTTCTGTCTTTGGAGAATCTTACTCAAAAAAAGCACCACTTTCAGTGCAGTTTGTCAATTCCTAGAATTTTACTTAATGAACTGAATTCAAAAGTAAAATGCACATAACCAGAAAACACTTTCAGTGCAGTTTGTCAATTCCTAGATCTTTTTTTTTTTTTTTTCTTTTTACTTTTCTGCACAAAGCCAGTTGCTAAGGCATACAAGAATATTATTATTATTATTAAGCATGCGATCGCTGGCACAGGCTTCTCGTGGAAGAACAGTGAGTCCGGGGGTGGGGGAAGAGGGGGTTGTGACGAAGAGCGATCGATCTCGCTGTGGTGTCCCCGAAAGTGTAATGTGCATGTGCAAAACGACGGCTCTGACACGTTGCATCTCACGTGGTTGGCCGAAACCTCGCTCCATTTGTTTCACTGAATGATTTGCATCAACAGAGTGTGTTGCATTTAGGTGATATTTCAGACTCGGGAAACTTCAGTGATAAGACAATTCAGCATTGCAGTGTTACAAATGACTTTGGCTGTGTTGACTGTGCCGTCTGAAGAACTTTAAAAAGAAAATGGCATTTAAAATGAAAATGGCCAAGTTAAAGTTCCTCACCCTTCTCCATGTTTGGAAAAAAAAAAAAGAAAAGTAAAAACTGCATTAAGGGGAGAAAAATTTACATGTTAACGTGCCCATCCCTAAATTCGATATATTGTGATGGTTCACGATATTATTGTGAGAACATAGACGATATGATATCACGATATTTCAGTTATTGTTACGTCCCTAATGCCTAGCTTTGTGAGGTGCATTAAAAACAGTGTGTCATTGTACGTTATACCATGGAACATTCCAGGCAAAGCAATATCATCTCCATGGAGACAAGCAGGCAACGGACCCTCCACCAGAAAAGTTGCACAGTGCACCTTTAAACTTTCAAAAATACCCAGTTTCCGCTTCACTCCACTGAAATCTTCTATTGAACTATGTCTCTCCTCTCACTCTCGCCTCACCTGTTTTCCTTGCAGCGGTCCATTCTGCAGCGTCCAGGCAGAGAGCGTGTTCAGGCCTTTCACCACCGCCGCTCCGGGGACCAGCCTGTACAGAACACACAGTCAACGCTGCGCTCCTGTCTGCACCGCCAGCTCAAAGAAAACCCCACAAAACGCTCCGAATCGATGTTCTCCACCGCTGCTGAAAAGACACACGGCAGGACGTCCCACAGGGGGCGCCGTAACCTTGTACCACCTTTTATTTCTGCACATCTAGGAGCATTTGTGAGCGCTTTCAGAAAATGATGATTGTTGATTCTCCAAACATGTTGAAAAGAGAGCCCCACTATAAGCTGTGTTTTTCTGACAATGGAATGGGTCAGTTTACCTTTGGAGATATTCAGCGTTGGATTCTGGATATATGTTTTTCTTCAAGTTGTTGCTGATGTCCACCAGCACCTTCAGACAAACAAGACAAAAATGAATCTACAGAACAGATTAAGACTAATTTTCATCAAGGCTTCTACAAAAACTTAAAATGGTAAAGATATTTCACCCTGTTCTGTTTTAAAGGTGCACTGTGTAACTTTTGTGGTAAGGGGCAGAGGTGGGACTCATTCTCAAGTCTTTGACCTCAAGTCCGAGTCAAGTCCCAAGTCACTGACCTTCAAGTCCAAATCGAGTCCCAAGTCTTATTCCATTTTATCAAGTCAAGTCTCAAGTCCTAAAAATAGTGACTCAAGTCTGACTCAAGTCCAAGTCACGACTCTCAAGTCCCCACCTCTGGTAAGGGGTATGCCACAAACTTGTTTCCATGGAGATATTATGCCATAGGTTTCACAGTATGGCATTAAACTCATCCATGGTGCATTTATTCAATTACTTGTGCTTTACTGCTTAAAAATACAACTTTCCCTGAGTCATTGTGGGATTGTTTCCATGGATTCAAATGAGTTTAATGGCAGACTCTACACCAAAAAGCTACACAGTGCACCTTTAAACTAATGTTGTTGTTTTTTTTCCTTTTCTGTTAATAATCCATGTATTTGATAAATTCATTAGTAACAGAAAACTTGCATGCTTAAAATACATTCATTAATTCAACTTAGCTCTAAAGGTGCACTATGTACCTTTTTATCCCCTTTTTGTCTCCATGGAGTTATTATTTTACCTGGAATGTACTCCCAGTATGGAAAGAACCTTATCTCAATGCAGATAATCAGGTGGCAGGGCGCCGTCAGGACAACTTTCAGATTAGATAAATGGAGAGGTGAGTCCTCCCCACTTACTGTACTGTAAGAATGCCCGTGTAACATGCCAGGCAAAGGCAATGAAGGGGAACAACACAGCAGCCCCACCACAGAAGTTACATGATACACCTTTAAATCTACTTAGATGCATGTAAATACAGGAATACAGTAATAGTAATACAGGACAAAGAAAAATCTTATCTTTCTTCCTCTTCTCACCTTCCCCTGCAGATGTGGTTCCATGTTTAGCATAAAGGCGTAGTGATCTCTGTGCACACATAAGAAGATGAGGTTGGCTGCGTTGGCTGCTTCTGCATGGCTCATCACCTGTAAACACACACATACAGATGTACACTGCTGCTCCTGCCAAACCTCCACAACTCGCTCATTTACCACAGAGATGAATCACATACCCGATTAAAGACAGGCTTTTCTGGTGGAGGGTCCGTCACCTTCTTGTGCCCATGGATCTAAATGTTAACGCTTTGCCTGGAATGTTCCACACTACGGCATTAAATGTATCTATCTCCATGGAGACGCCAAGTAAGTGACACCAACAGGCCAAGTTAATAGTCAGATTTGTGGAAAACAGCGTGAATGTTTTCCAATGGATTCTTACTGCATTGTATTTCTATTTCCAAAGTATTCTGATTCAGTGGAATAAATGTGCATTGATATCAGTTTATTGCCATACTGAGGAACATTTCAGACAAAGTAATATCAAATCCATAAAGACAGCAGGTAGCGGACCATCCACCAGAAAAGTTGCACCTTTTCATAAATAAATAATAGGGATGTAACAATATCCAAAATATTGTGATATTGTATCGTCACAGTCCTCACAATAAAATCGTGGACCATCACAATATATCAAATTACAAGTCTCTTTGCTTAAATTAAGAGTTATGGTGCAGCAATAGACATAGGGAAAAGGCAGAGGGAACTGCATAGACCATGATCCTTTGCTCAATTTCAGTGCAGACTACATGAAGAAATAACAGTTCTAAACACTTTTATGTCTTAGTTCTTTGGATTAAATCTTGTCAAGGCATTTGAAGAGGAAAAAGTAGCATATTAACAGTTTTGTTAGCCTCCACAAAATATCATAATAAATACCGTACCGTAAGATGCATATCATGAAAATATTGTACAGAGAGATTTGGATATTGTTACATCCTTAATCGTGAGCCTCCCCACCATATTGTGAGCTTTCCCACGATATCACAATAAATATCGTAGTGTGGGGCTCATAACATGACGATATCATATCGTGAGACTTGGATATCGTTACACCCCTAATAAATAACTAAAAGTAATCAAGGTCACCACTATAGACTGTATAAAGAAATGGACGAAGCAAATGTGACGTCACCCACAGCGTTCGGTGCCGCTCAAATGAAACTCGTGATGATAACGGTAACGGGGCGAATTAGGAGTCAGGCCCTATATGGTGAATAGGATTTTGTTGACGGACAAAATAGCAAAAAATAAATAAATAAATAAAATAAAAAAATACCAGGATCACATAGAACGGATTGATACAAATATTTTACGATCAAAATGACAAAGGCTCACAGCAGCAGTTACAGAAAGAAGGGTGACAATATTCCAAGAAGTGCCTCCATGTGAACTCCCTATTTGGAATGCCGTGGCTAGTGCATTAGGTATGTCCATTTTTATAGACAGTCTATGGTCACCACCAGATTTAGAAGAATCTGAACCACCAACTTTCTAGTTATAGGCTGAATGTGCTTCCACCTGCACCACTGTCACTCCTCTACTGCTACTTATAGATACCACTCTTGCTACTAGATGGATTACAGCTTCTTACTACTATTTTGGCACACGTTCATAGCAATAAACTTTCTGCTTCGTCATTTAAAGGTGTGGAGTCTGTGCGCCTACTGGTTTAATCACAACTCAGCCTGAGATGCCACTGCCTTAACCTGCACAGAGGACACAGAGTCTATAAGGTTTCATCATTGTCAGAATATGCACAGGTCAAATCTCATGTGAACCTCCAGAATTCCCCACACGGACTAATGATTGGCTGCAGGAGCTGGGGTTTACAGTGACGATTCAGATTAGAGAGACATTTTATTTATATTTAAGAACTGGAAACCTAAATGAGAGACTATTGTGAGGATATCTTCCTTCTGATTGCTTCAACAACTTGACCATCATGTTTAGAGGTTTTGTAATTAAGACTAAATCAGTGATACAATAAGTAGTGTAGTCCACATGTGGGCACTTCTAGCTCCTTCTGACTCTGGCTCCCATTGACTTACATTGGAATATTGTATCCCCTCTCTCTGTAAATGCTGCTGAGAGCTTTTCCAGTTGGGTCTGAAAAAGCTCGTATTCATCTTTTTTTTTTTTGTATATTTTTTCATTTAAAAAAATCCTATTCCTATAGAGTCTGGCTCCAAATTTGCTCCTGTAACCACTAGCATCGCTGTGGTCTAATGTGAATTTCTCGACTCTTCAGAGGCTGATTACTGTGATACTGCTGAAACTCAGAAAAGTCTATCACACCAAAATATAAAGCTTAGATATGGAACTTTTCAAAAATCACTGATAGCTCTTGCCACCAGAGTGATATTGAAATTATATGCCCTCCTTTTAAAATAGTATGCCGCTTTTTCTTTCTTAGCTCTTGCAGTGTCCCATGCACCCTCCCTTCCTCCACCCTCCTCTTCCTCCATGTGCGCTTTACCTGAGCTCCCTGTGGTATGGGCCCACAGCTGTCTGGTCTGCGGCTGCCGTACACCACTCTGTATCCAGACTGGAGCAGGCGCTGGCCCAGGGAGCGCCCCAGGTCCCCCGTCCCAAAGATACACAGAGTCACCCCAGCTGCTCCTGCACCCATGGGACCCAGAGGAAGGCTTCCTGACTTCATCTCTTCAGACCCTGCACTTGTCACAGTCATCACCACACTTGAATGTAGTCAGTGCAGAATGTGGCGTTTTTGTTGAGTATTTTATGACACTGGATATTGGCCTGATGTGAGGCCAACCCCCTTATGCAGTAACTATAAACCTCTTGACCTCTCCGTGTGTAATAAGTATATGTATTTATTGCACTTATCATTATCACAAGTACAGGTGTGTGCAGGCGGCACTGTCTCCCTGTTATGTTTATTTGACTATTTTATTTTATTTTAGTGTCTCTAAAGTTATATAATATATAATTATAATTACGGTTATATTACCAAAATATAGTTTTATAATTCCCAGGTGTGATAAGAAATAAATAAACATATTAAAATGTTATGTATGTTCCAACTTTTCTTCAGCTCATAAACATTTTCCAAGTGCCAAGCTGATTTAAAGTCCTGTTCTCTAATCAAGCTTTAGCTGATCCAAGTTGACCTTAAGTATTAGTGACATTTACTTTAAGTTTCAAAGTTCAGCATCTTCTCATTTATTTTGGTGAGAGTAACTTGAGAGTAATGCAGTAGTAGTGTAATGTAGTGTAATGCCTTACAGTTTAAATGCAGTAATATTGTAATGTAATGAATTACTTTAAAATGACAGTAACAAGTAATAAATAACACATTACAGTTTTGAAGTAACTTGCCCAACAGTGAAAATAATAAGTGATAATAAAGTGACCTTAAACAAACTAGACAAACTACCTTCTTCCTTCTCCCGTCTGACCACTCAAACAAACAAAACAAACAAGTTAAGTAAATAATTCAGACTTATATTAACTGAAATGTGAGCAGCCAAATTAGAACACAAGTCTAAATAAAGGAATTAAATGATGTGTGCTGAAATTAACTTAATGTAAATGAAGTGAAATGAAATATTACTAACACTGTGGAGTGGTGGCAGAAGTATCCACCACCGTTTTGCTCAAATACATGGGAAAAAACTGGTACTGGCCCTTTAATTTGTGCCTAATATAGATTTTCAGAGCTTCTTTTATAGACACCAAGAGTGAACTGCTGTCTCCCCTTCGCCACAAAGTCAGACATTTAGCAGAATAAAAGAAATGAAAAAAAAACTTGCCTTATTCTATTTCTGTGTCTCCACTGTAGACATGATGCCGTGTGGGAGATCCTGGCTCACAGATTTATTATCATTTCAAAACGCGCTGTTCCAAAGCAAATGACGGGGAAGAAAATGTTGGCAAATCCAGTGCTCGTGTCCCTGTGGCCCAAACATGTGCAGAGCTGTGACACGGGCCGAGCACTGAAGCACGAGTGATGGGCTCCCTGCGCCGCTGTGTCCGTGTGTGTGAGAGGGGATTCAGCACATTGTGGGGAATACATTCAGTTCATAGTACAGGAAAAGATGTATTGTATCGTGATCATAATATTATTGTGAAATGTGAATATACTTTTTGGCACGTTCAGTTAATTCAAAGAGCCCATATCTTTTTTTTCTGATCTACAGTATGTCACAATGTTGTTTCCTCATCAAAAACATATCTGAAGTTGTGTTTTGTTTCACTCACTCATGTTTAACACAGAAAATCCTGCATATTTACGCTGAGTTCTTCTCTCAAACAGAAAACTCTCAGCTCCACCGTGTGCAAATTTGTCTGATCTGGCCAAGAGTTAAAAATTTATATGAGGTTATTCATCTTGTTTTCAGATTTATTATCTACTTACTAGACCAGAGACGGCATAATTCTAGTCTAGAGGTAGTTTATTTTAAGATAACGTGTCAAGTAAAATTATTTTGCTGCACGGACAGATAATTCCACTACATTTAATTCATTTTTTTCTTATAGATTTAAGTGTTTATGTCTTGAATTTTGGCCAAGCTTTTTTGCAGTGTAATAGACGAAGAGCTAGGCTGTGTTTTTAAACTCTATACACCTTCACTAAAAACACACACACACAAATGTAGGTAGTTTCAGCCCTAGAACTGCTGATCTTTACTGAACAAAAGGAAAAAGGTGGCTGTTGACTTGAAAACTACCACTTCATATGTGAATTAAGTGTTTTTGATGACCTACAACAGTCTAACATGATTTAAAACTCACAAGAATCTATTTTGCATCAGATAGGACCTGTGAAACAAGAAATGCCCATCATGCTTTCATTTATTTACTAGCCAAAATAACATTTTATAGAAACAACCAAAACCAACCCAAGTCCAGGACCTAAAAAAATAAAATAAAATCTGCCTTTTTGTCAGTTTTACTTTCCAAAAACAGTGCACTGTCAAATGGAGAACTTTGTGTTGTTGTATTTATTTTCTTGCAATACTGATTACTGCGTCAGCCAGTATTGCAAATAGTAAAATCTAGCTAAAATGAAAGTTTTATCTTGATTTGAGTACATTTCAGTGCAAGTACAGTTATGCACCAGTGGAACTTTTGTACAACTGTTGTAGAAAAACAAATCTTTTCAAACAAAAAACACTTCATCATTTTACCCGCCAAGCTGAATCTTCTCTAATAAAGAAGAAAAAAAAAACTTAATTTAGGTATTACTTTTTGTACTTTGGTGACAAAAACATATTTTTATTTTCCATGAAGCAGGAAGTGCACAGTTAGCATGCTGGTTGCTGTTGGTTTTCTCATTGAAACCGAAAGTGAAACGAGCTTGAGGAATTGCGGTGAATAATCAGGACGCTAGGAAGGTAAGCGAGGAAAAACTTTGGACCAAAATCAAGAACAGCGCCAACATAATGTCCTCACGAAGCACAGAAACCCCAAATGAGTGTGTGTTTAACGGCTGCGGGAGGAGGAAGAGGAGGAAGAGGAGGAAGAGGAGGGAGGGGGGGGTCAGGAGGTGTGATGTGTGTGGGGGGTAGAGGAGTCCCAGCTGTGATCCAGGGCAATGAGGCAAGGGCACAGGAGGCTAACAGAGAGCTCCACAGATCTCTATGCACCTGGATCTGCTCAAGTGTCACAGCGTCACGTCGCACTGTGGACTGTAGAGTCACAAAGGTTTACTGCAGGGATATGAATAAAGTCATGGGCAAGGTTTGGGTTTAGGTGAGTTTATTTGCCATTTGTAGTTAAAAACACATTTGTGAAAAAAGCTAAAATTATACAGCTATGAACAGTGGTGTAGTGGGGATTTTTCAAGTGGGGGTATGCGAGTCGTGATCAAGACTAAACCAGGACTGAACCAGGTCTAAAACAGGACTAACCAGGACTAAACCAGGACTAAACTAGGAGTAAACCAGGTCTAAACCAGGACTAAACCAGGATTAAACTAGGAGTAAACCAGATCTAAACCATGACTAAACCAGGACTGAACCAGGTCTAAAACAGGACTAAACCAGGACTAAACCAGGACTAAAACTAAACCAGGAGTATAAACCAGGTCTAACAGGACTAAACCAGGATTAAACTAGGAGTAAACCAGATCTAAACCATGACTAAACCAGGACTGAACCAGGTCTAAAACAGGACTAAACCAGAACTAAACCATGACTAAACCAGGACTAAACCAAATCTAAACTATGATTAAACCAGGTCTAAACCAGGTCTAACCAGGACTAAACCAGGTCTAAACCAGGTCTAACCAGGACTAAACCAGGACTAAACTAGGAGTAAACCAGGTCTAAACCAGGTCTAAACCAGGTCTAACCAGGACTAAACCAGGACTAAACTAGGAGTAAACCAGGTCTAAACCAGGACTAAACCAGATCTAAACTAGGACTAAACCAGATCTAAACCAGGACTAAACCAGACTAAACCAGGACTAAACCAGGACTAAACCAGGTCTAAACCATGACGGCTGCCCTTTGCCCTGTGGGGTGCGGAGCTCTGCGCCGGTCTCCTGCGGTAACCCTACATGGGTGCACCTCTGGGCCCATCCCGACATTCAGTCCTGGTTCAGTTCTGGTTTAGTCCTAGTTTAGACCTGGTTTAGATCTGGTTCATTCTTGGTTCAGTCACCATTACCAAAATCTCCAGTTTGATATTTAAGGTGAAGCTATTTTGTATTTATTATCTTTTTATATCTCACGTCAGGAGAAGTGGTTGGACAGTGTACCAACGCGTACCACGCTATAAACTTATAAACAACTATATAAACAAACAGTAGATAATGACTCCAGATGACCTATAACACTTGTAAATAAACAAGATAAGATGAAGATTAAGAAGCCAAGATATGAAGGTGCTACATTACATCAAATTGAGATGTGAGCTTTACGCCATGATATAATGTTGTTACATCAGTAGTTGTATGTGACTGTCTACATGTCAAAAGGTCAAAATGCTCTGCTCCACCTTATGATGTCATGTAGTGGTAGTTTTTAAGTTTTGTACAGCAGAGACAGGCGACTCCATGACTTACTATACTGTATTACCACAGGCTAAATATACAGGATTTGTGTGTTAAATAAGTGTGAATGAAACATGTGAGAGATACAGGACTACATTCATATCATACTCCCTACAACTGTCCAACAACTCAACCCTTATGTAACAGATAATACTCCCTACAACTGTCCAACAACTCAACCCTTATGTAACAGATAATACTCCCTACAACTGTACAACAACTCTTCTATTTCTGTTTTATTTTGGCTGGTACATTTACATTTATATAAATATCTTTTTTGACACCTGTCTCCTGCTATATTTTTTGCTACTTATTTTGAGTGTATTACTACCATTTATATTTTTTCTCTTTGTTATTATATTATATTGTGATTTGTGAGCTACTGTGTCCAAATAATTTCCCTTGTGGATCAGTAAAGTTTGTCTAAGTCTAAGTCTAAAACACAACTCCATATACATTATAACATAGATCACAAAATAGTGTCATGTAGATCCTTTAAAGCTTTCCTCTGCTTTCCTTTGGCAGTAATGTCCAAAATGTTCAAAGCAGAATAAAGATAATCAGATTTGTATCAAAGCTGTATACTACATTACATACAATAAACTAAAAGGTGCATTGTGTAACTTTTCTGGTGGAGTGTCTATCACCGTACGAACATTCAATTCCAGTTG